GAAAAAGGAAGATGAGGAAGGAGAAGAGGAGGAGGAGTAAGAGAAGAAGAAGAAAAAGAAAATGAGAGGAGGGAGAAGAAGAAAGAGAAAAGAGCAAGAGGGAGGAAGGATAAATGAAAATAATGTTCATGGATGTTGTACTTCTCATATATTCATTATAGGAAAGGTGTTATAAAGAAATTAAGAGAAAAAGTGAGTCATATATGTCTATTTTATATAAACTATTTCTGCTGCACTCAAGGAATATATAAGGTGTATCATTGTGGGCTGGATATATTTTGTTCCTGATTCAGAGCCCAGGGGATGGTGCTCTTAGGGTCTTTAAATATAATTTGTAATCTCGGAGATTTACAGCGAAGTGTCAATAAAGGGATTTTCCCCTTAGATTTCACTTTGGATTGACAACTGTGGACTATAAACCTGTTGATTGATTCAAATGCCAAACTTGGTGAGGTCATATCCAGACTGGATCCTACTCAAACCAACATGTTCCAGAACAAGCCAAAGGTCTAAGAATAAAGTCAGTTGCAAATGAGTAAGAAGTCAAGTGATCCTTGTTAGCTGGGGGCAGTCTGTCCTGGAGGCTGAGCTTAGGAAATGGAACCTGCCAAGCACCAGGATGTGCCTGGACCCCAGGTGTCTGAGAGGGCCTGAGTTAAGTGAGGTTGGATTGGTCAGTTATAGACTACACAGAGGAGGCTGGGTGCTAGGTGCACTTTGAGCTTCTGTCAATGTTCACATAGATGATAGTTCAAGATGACTTTTACTCATGGATTGTTGAAGTCTAAATTTACATTAAAATGTTGTGGCTTTTTTTTTTTTTTAAACAGTCTCATTACGTTGCCCAGGGTTTCCTTGAATTTAGGATCCTTTCATATCAGCCTCCCTACTAGCCGGGATTATAAATTTACATTTTTGAAAAGTAATTTAGAATAGCTATCATGTGCTAATTGTATTAGGCATATCATGTTCCTTTTTTTTTTTTTTTGTCTGTCCTGGGGCTTGAACTCAGGGCCTGGGTGTTTTCTTGGAGCTCTTTTGCTCAAGGCTAGCACTCTACCACTTGAGCCACAGAGCCATTTTCACACTTCCGGCTTTTGGGGTATTAATTGGAGGTAAGAGTCTCCTGGACTTTCCTGCCCGGGCTGACTTTGATCTGAAGATCTCAGCCTCCTGAGTAACTAGGATTACAGGTGTGGGTCATAACCCCTGGTTGTGTCCCTTTTTTTTTTTTGACATATGAGTCTACCAGTAGGAATCTGTTCAGTCAAGTGAAAGTGGATTAATTTTAATCACCACAAGAAGAATAAGCTACTCAGATGAGGAAACACGTGAGTTTGGAAACATCCCTGCCTTGGAAGTGCATGGAGCTGGGAACTCAGGCTTCAGCCTTGGGATAGCAGGATTTCTCAATGTGTAGCCTCAACTTACAGGAATCAAGTTATCTACCTATATGCTCCAGCTTTTCTTTACCACCTAACTCTTGTTTCTTTAGGTTGTATATCCCCAGTCATCTGGCAAAACCAGCTCTAGACCCTTGATTTGGAACTTAGGTTTGAGTTCATTGTCTTGCACATGGTGTGGGGGAAGTGTGTGTGTTGCGGGGAGTCACACCATAAGCCATCTGGCTCTTAACTCTTGATAAGGAGAACCTTGATTGGATGTTATTTTTCCAAACCACTCAAGTAATCCATCTTTATTAGTCGTGGATTCAACGTCTGTCCACAGCCCCATCAGCAGAGGCTAGGAAGATATTCAGCCCATAGCTGCTTAAGCAGTGATCAGTAGTGGGAAAGTTTATGAAGGCAAATACCTAGGAAGGACATCTCTAGAAATGGAATCTAAGGAAAAGACGTAGAGATGGGGACCAATAAGTGCATTAAAGTGCGCGTGCGTGGGCACACACACACAACAGGATAATTGTGTGTTGCCTAGGTGTGCAACAAAGAGCAGCTAATGCAGTGACTTCGGAGACTGTTGAAGAACGTGGGGAATTGCTCACAAACTATTGCTTGGGGAAAAAAAAGACAGGCTATATAATCCTATATATCTGATACGATCAGAATTTTCCGGGGGGGAAAAAAACCACCTTGCATTTGTTATTCTCTTCTTAAATCTGTAAGAGGAAGTTGACAGGTTAGGGGTGTGAACGAGCGGCACACAAGTTATTTATTTGGTCATGGCTTTCATTTGTTCCTTAGTGAGCCTCGGGGAGACGGAGGGTTAAAAGTTCCAGCTTCTGTTCAGCGGGGCCTGGGGGCGGCCCGCGTCCGGCTCCCGGCCCGGCCCGGCTCGGCCCGGCCCGGCCCCGCGCCTCTCCCTGCCGTGGCTCTCTCGGGTCCGCGCGGTCGCGGATCGGGCGCGCACCACACCACGCACACGTGTACTCGGAGGGCGGAGCCCCGCCGCTGCCCCGGCCTTCCGTCTTCCGGCGGCCCTCGGACTCTGTCCCGTCCGCCCCGCTGGCCGCGGCATGGCTCCGGTCCGCTTCTCCGCCAATTTGTCCTGGCTGTTTCCCGAGCTCCACGGGCTCCCCGCGCGACTGCAGGCCGCAGGCCGCGCGGGCTTCGAGGCCGCCGAGGTGGCCTGGCCGTACACCGAGCCGCCCGAGGCGCTGGCGCGCGCGGCGCGGAGCGCGGGGCTGCGGCTGGTGCTGATCAACACGCCGCCCGGTGCGCGCGGCGCGGAGCGGCGGGGCGGGGCGGGCGTGGGGGTGGGGTGGGTGGGTGGATCCGGGGCCGCGGGGCCCAGCCCCTACTGACGCCCGCTCTCTCCGCAGGAGACCGAGAGAAGGGGGACATGGGGCTGGGGGCCGTCCCCGGGAGGCAGGCGGCCTTCCGCGAGGGGCTGGAGCAGGCCGTCCTGTACGCCAAGGCTCTGGGCTGCCCCAGGTATCCTGCCCTGCCCCTTCGCCCCGGTAATCCGGGTCCTCTGCATTTATCTGCCAGTGTGGTCCTGTTGACCACTCGTCCACGCGCATCTCATGCCCAGTCCCATCTGGGTGACAGGGAAATAGCAGGGGGGGGGGGGGGAATCCAGCTAGTGATCCATTCTAGGGCAAGGAAGCTATAGGCGCAGGGTCAGCACCTAACCCTTTGACTAGAACAAAAGCTGCTTCCTTAGTGCTCAAAGGAGCCTCACCTTCGGCCTGTACACTACTCTAGGCAAGGATGCTGTGGCCAGGAGCAAGAGGAAGATTTGAGAGTTCAGCTGGAGTTTATGAGACTGGAGGGCTAGATAGCTGGGGTTAGGAGGACCTGCATGTCTGTTGTGTCTAAGCTGGATGCTGAAACTGAAGAGATCAGGAGGTGATGGAAGAAGGTGGAAGCCTCAAAGTGGGAATGAGTAAACAAATGTCAGATTCAGCAGAGGTCAAATAGACTTGTTGAGAAGAAACTGGTAACCAGGGGCTCATTGCTGTTGGTGAGTGGTAGGGACGGAAAACAGATCAGGAAGAAGCCAAGAAACAGACGCAAGGAGAAGTGGAGGCAAGCAGGACACGATGGGTACAAGGGCAAAGGTCAAAGTCATTTAAAAAGGTGAACCTCAAACATGCTCATAGCCTGAGAAGGACTAAGGGAAAGAAAGGCTGAAAGGTGCAGGAGGGGGTAAGGGATGGACTGAGGTCCCTTGGGCCAGAGGATGGGTTGGCTCTAAGGAAGCATCCTGACCTGGCTTGCGTACAAGTGACTGGGGTGGCTGGGAAGTCAGCATGTGGTCAGGTGGTATGGACAGAAGACCTGAAGCAGTAGCAAGGGCTGACATGGTCAGGGCAGTGTGAAGCCTCCAATCCCATTTTCCCCACAGGATACACTTAATGGCTGGCCGGGTACCCCAGGGGGCTGACCGAGATGCAGTCAGGGGTGAGATGGAGACAGTTTTTCTGGAGAACCTGAGGCATGCAGCTGATGTTTTGGCTCAGGTGAGAAGTGGCGATGTTTATGTGCGTATGTATGTGTGTGTATATGCATGCACATGCACAAAAGGATGGAGAAGGGAGAGCTGTTTAGGCACTAGGTTGGGCACTAGTCCAGGTTAGAGACAGGTGGTGTTGGTAACTGATTGATGAGGGATGAATGCATCCAACATGGTGCTAGGAGAACCTCGTGGGACTGCTGGAGCCCATTAACACCCGGATCACTGATCCCCAATACTTCCTGGACACACCCCAGCAGGGTAGGACTCCAGCCCCATGCTGCCTCCTATCCTTGATTCCTGTGCTCCCCTCGAGTCTCACAACCCCACTCATTGGGTTCTTACAGCGGCAGCCATCTTACAGAAGGTGGGAAGACCCAACCTCCAACTACAAATGGTGAGTAGGAGAAAGGGGGTGCTCAGAGAGCCCTATTTCCCAATCTGGGAAGAATAGTTGGGTCACCTGAGGGGTTTTACTGTAGTAATCTCTTCCCCAGGACATATTCCACTGGCAGATCATGGATGGAAACCTGACAGGAAATATCCGAGAGTTCCTGCCCATTGTTGGTGAGAGGCAATTGCTCTCCTGGTCTGGTGCTGCTTCCTATGGTCACCCACCCTTACATCCCCCTCTACTGTCCCTCAGGCCTCAGCAGTAGTCTAGGTCCCTTATCTCTCCACATCTGTACACAGGGCATGTGCAAGTGGCACAGGTCCCAGGTCGAGGTGAGCCAGACAGCCCTGGAGAGCTGTACTTCCCCTACCTGTTCCAGCTGCTGGAAGATGAAGGCTACCAAGGTTTTGTGGGCTGCGAGTATCAGCCTCAAGGTGAGGCTCCAGGTGTAGCCAGGGGAAGAGGATTGGAGGAACACATGTTGGACAGGGCTTTCTGTTGTAAGTTGAGATGCCACTCTCTTTCTCTCCACACAGGAGACACAGTGGAGGGTCTAAGTTGGCTGCGTTCATACTGGGATAGGCAAGGCCAACCACAGACTGGCCAGTGAGGTCCTGCAAACCACCTGAATACTTCTCTGGACAGTGAGTGAGCGTCTTATCTCTTCCTCTGAATTAAAGACAACCTGCTAAGCATTTTCATATGTGTATGTTATTGGGATAGAGGACACACAGTGTCTAATGCTTCAGTGTCTCTGGGTTGCTTTCCTCCCATTGAGAAGGAACACATAGCTTATGCTCAGATCCTCCAGCCAGTGCCAGGACTCCTGTGGAGACCAGAGAATTGAGTCCTCCTTGTTTACAGGAGAAGAACCAAGGGTCCAAGAGTACAAGGACCTGACACTGTGCTCAGGTGCTTCAATGGCAAAGCTAGGATTGGAACCACGGTGTCTTATGACGATGGCAATGTCCAGCAGTGATGTCCAAGTGGAAATAAAGACTAGACGGCCAACTGAGAGCAGGTGGCTAGCAGTGACCAAATACTGTGAGGCAGGATTCAGGCTGAGCTTTTAACGGATGAATGCTTGCGACTTGATTCAGAGAACTCTCTGGATCCCACTAGGATGAGAGGAAAGAGTAATCTACTCTGGAAGGGCCCAAGGGCCTGAGAGGGAATGGGCACTTTGGGAGTTGACCCAACTCTAGAGTCCTGGCTAGTAAGTTGTTATGAGTGTTCTGGGAGGGCAGGCTCCAGCAGTGAATCTCAGACATTCACAAATCGTTGGGGTGTCACTTAGTGCCCGAGTTTACCCTGTGCCCCAGAAGAGCTGATCAATCCTGCCTCAGATAGACAATCTTATAGATCCATGCTTTGGCGAATAGTGACTCAGTGGTCACTTCCTCAGAGGAGGCGGGTCCAAAGGGTGAAACATGCTGTGTTGATGACGGACTCCAAGTGGTGGTAGGTGGACACCAGCTGGGCAGGGGGGCTGTCACTGTCCTGGGGCTGAACTGGGAAGGGCTCTCTGAAAACCACCGTCAGAGACTATGGGAAAGACAGTGAGAGTGCAGTGGTGAGAGAACAGGAGACGGCTCAGGAAGAAGGGGCATCCCCAGCTCAGCAGGGAGGGCATGTGGTGTAGTCTCCCATGGGTCTGACATGAAAGCCCCCCACTTCCTGTTCTCACCGTCTTTCCCAAGTGGGAGTCCAGAAACACTAGCACAAAACAGTCGGTGAACTTCTGATTCAGTACAACCTGCAGTGACAATGAGATGAAGAGAGCTTTGTCTCACCTGAGGAACAGACTGTCTTGCAGGGCTTCCTGTCTGGATGGAAGAGCCCACCTGCACTCCCAGGCTACTCAGGCCTGTGCCTCCAAACCAAATCCCAGTTAGCCTGTTACAGCCTCCTCAGATTGGTCCAGGACTCTACAAGAGCCTGCCACACTGAAGTTGGTCAAAGAAGAGTTCTCTACCATGGGTACAGTGCTCTTCTTGCCTCTAGGCTTGACTCTCTTATCTCTGTGCCACCCGCGCCCGCACCCCCCCCCCCCCCCCCCCCCCCGCCATGTCTAGGTGTTAGCTAAAGCTTGGCTCTGGAATCAACTCTCTGGGTGGTTTTGCCCCTCCCCAGGCATCAGTACCATCTGTTCATATAGCTGCTGCTTAGGTCTTTCTTGTGCTCTGATGTTCATAGGCTTTCGAGACAGTGAACATCCTTGCAGGCTTCACACTCAACTTACTCTGAGCAGAATACACGGCTCTTTCCCTAAACCTGCTTCGTTTCACCTACACCACTGTAGTTCTGTCTTAATAGACCTCAGTTTACCTGGATGACCTGTTATACCCCAGTTTTCCCTCTTATACCTTTTACCATGGGACCACTTCACCAGAGTCCAACTTGTACTTTCTTGCCTGAATGTCTCCTCTTGTATGCCTCTTCTGAACCACAGAATTCACTGTGCCTATCTCTTTAGTCTCTAGTTCCCTGTGTGCATGCCCATCATCCTGTTACTGAAGTGCTTTCCTCTCTGCTTGTCCTTCAGAGCTGTGTCTTCAAACTCTACGGATGCCCAGATCACCTAGGAATATTGCTAAGACAGATCCCGAGTCATGTGGGATGGAGCCTGAACATCTGTATTTCAGTAGGTTTCCAGGTGATGCTGCCACTGCTGGTCTGAAGACCAGGTGTTAAAACCCAAGAGCTCCCTTCTGGGACTCCAATCTTTGTGACCAACCATTGTTGAAGTCCTGAGAACTCCCTGGGTTGCCAATGTCAGAGGCTGTTTTCCTTCAGAATCTTTAGCCCTCAATTAAGAGCTTTGCTCTCAGCAAATCACAAACCAGGAGTTGATGCCCAGTGCTCTGACGTTTTACATATATCTGTGGAGTTTTGGGCTTGTTTTGGGGCTCCCTGAGAGGGCTAGCTGTGAACTCTGATGAAGATGTCTGCTGTTTCCCCTTTCAGAGTAGGAGTAAGGGACTTACCAGGTACTGAGTTCCCAAGTCTGGGCTCTGGAAATGGCGGCAGCTCTGGGGGAAGCGGCTTAGGAGAACTTTGATCAGGCTCTGGTACCAGGAGACTGTCATAGACAGGAAGCAGTCCTGGAGGGAGGGGAAGTGTATGTCATAGGCCTGGGTTTTTCTGTCCCAGAGTCACCTGGACTCCTTTACTCTCCACTGGCTGCCTGTGACATTCCTGGCACCCTTCCAGCCCTTACTACAGTCCCTTACCAACTGAGGGTCAATGTCCCCAATGGATTTGGCATGGACTGCTTCCAAGAGCTCCTCCAACTCTGCCAGGGCTAGGCGTCCCCCTAGCCTCAGCCTGTCAGGCCCTGGTGGCTCCAGCAAGAAGAGGCGCTTCCAGAGGGTGTCCCGACGGCAGTGACCACCAGCCAGCCGGACAAGCTGAGCCAGCCGTGCCCGTGCCATGCCCACCTCTGCGGCCAGTGGTGGGAACAGAGGAGCTGGCCCAGGGGCTGGGATAAGCCCCGAGGCCTCCCCAGGGGTGCTGGTTGCACTCCCAGGAGCCTCTGGCTCAGGGGGTAGTCTGGGTGGCTTTCGGAACCTGCGCATGTCAGCAGTGAGTCTGGGGAACAGTTCTCGTTGGCTGGTGAGCACCACGAAGAACTGTAGCCTGGGGTGGAGGAAGCACATGAGAGTAGGCACAAAGACAGGACAAGAGCAAGGGGCAGGCTAGAGTGGACTCGTAAAACGGCAAAACTCGTAAAGCTGACCGTAAAACATGCCGCTCAGCCTCTCCTTGCTCCTCAAAGGGTGCAGCACAGTGACAGACCAGCAGTGATACATCGAAGTCATCCTGATGGCGAAGTCCCTCTGAGTCCAAGTAGGAGCCAGAGCTGTGTAGTGGGGGTGGAGAGGATTGAATTCTGAGGTTCTAATGAAACCAGCTGCATTCTTGCCTACTGCCAGTGTGGTCCCAACCTCAGCCCCACCAGACTGTGTGCTGGATGCCCCCTCTCAGCCTTACCTGTGCCATGCAGATACCAGGGCATACTCATTATGTTCTGGGCCCCCTGGCCGGGCCATGCGCAGTGGCTTCATGTGGTAAGAGCTGGCATGGTCAGCCACATAGTTGTATAGTTGGTGGGCAGCAATGAGTGGTGTGGGGAGCTCCAGTGTCCCTAAGGGGCAAGTTTCAGGACACAGACACTAAGCCTGGGACAAGTACCTTCACCTGGCAGGGCAGGGGCTGAGAGTTGCTTAGCTTTCTTAGGGAGATCCTGAGGAACACTGGGATAAGATAAAAGTGGCTGAGATTAGAGGACAGGGTATGCGTGAAACAGGACCTGAATTCTGATATAAAGCCATAAAGAACTTAAGGCAGAGACACATGGAAGCATAGGAATGGGATGGGTGATATGAGTGGTAATGACTGGGGACTACTTGCCCAGGAGCTGATCCCACAAGCCCTGGGCAGGAGATACCTCACAATCATCTTTTTTGGTCCCACGGTGCCTTGGGCACTGACCTTGGTAAATGTGATTGCGGCCAAAGTGGGGTCCATCAGGGTGGTGGGCCAGGAAGTGTCTCAGGAAGGTAGTGAGGTGGTAGCCGTGCCGCAGTACCAGGTGGGTGCCCAGCACATGCTGGTGCACTAGGCGCAGGTGGAAGTCATAGCTGAAGGAGTGCACATGCATCAGGTCCCGCACCTTGTCACACTCCTCTGTGAACAGCATGGATAGCTGGGGACAGACAGCAGAGTTAGGCTGTAGTAGCACAAGCTGCCTGATGCACACTTCCCTCCTTCCAGGGAGAAGAGGAGCTTTGACAGAGTCCTGTTTATGCACAACTATGCACAGACTTGCTCTTTGTTACACTTTTTATTGCTGTGTTATAACTATTTACACGAATCTGGGATCATTTTAAATAGTTAGGCCTTTTTACCCTGTATGTCAGATTCTACCAGAGTCTGACACAGACTCAATGCAGCAAATGTCTGCCAAGTGTGCATTAGGTATCCACTGGTGGCTGGTCACTATTGGATGTGCAGTGGAGAACAGACCATGGGCAGGGTAACCCAAGGAGCTTACAATCTAATTGTAGGAGACAGGACAATATTAGGTTGAATAAATGAATAATTACAAACCGTATTAGAAGGTGATATTATAGAAAGTAAGATGAGGATCCAGGTGTACATTTCCTATTAGAAGACTTTCCCAGACACTTTCATCTCTTCAGCCTTGTCTGCTTGTTAAACTACCTGCCTTTCCCTAGGATAGCTCATATTATCTCCTCTGTACTTTGTACTCGTATGCTAGTTGCCTAGAATGTGATCTCCCTCACTAGTATTACTATTATTTGGCAGGACTAGGGGTTTGAATTCAAGGCCTTGAACGTATGAGGCAGGCCCTTTACCACTTGTGTTATACCTCCAGCTCTGTGTGTGTGTGTGTGTATGTGTGTGTGTGTGTGCGCGCACAAATGGGCATGTTCGCCAGTCCTGAGGCTTGAATGTAGGGCTTGGGCACTGTCCCAGAGTTTTGTTCAAAGCTTGCACTCTGCCGCTTGAGCAACAGCTTCATTTCTGTACTTTCAGTAATTTATTGGCGATAAATAGTCTAGTGGACTTTGGTGCCTGGGTTGGCTTCGAACTGCAATCCTCAGACAGCCATCTGGTACTGGATTTGTGCTGTCCAGATATGGAGAGCTCCCCACGATGAAGATTATGAGATCTCACTGCTTGCACTGGGCCCAGCTGAATCCTCATCTCTCAGAAAGTATATGTAGATTTAGCCGGGCGCTGGTGGCTCACGCCTGTAATCCTAGCTACTCAGGAGGCTGAGATCTGAGGATTGCAATTCAAAGCCAGCCCGGGCAGGAGAGACCGTGAGACTCCTATCTCCAATAAACCACCAGAAAACCGGAAGTGGCGCCGTAGCTCAAGTGGTAGAGCGCTCGCCTTGAGCTGAAGAGCTGAGGAACAGCGCCCAGGCCCAGAGTTCAAGCCCCACGGCCGACCAAAAAAAAAAAAAAAAGAAAGTATATGTAGATTCAAGGCAGGGATCTACTGTGGCATTTTTTTCCAACCTAAGAAGTCCAACTAAGTACAGCAAGGGCTTCAGGCCTCTGATCTTACTAGATTCTCAACTCATTCTAAGCACTTCTGAATGCTTGCTACCCCTCCTGGGGTAATGAGGCCCTGCCTTGAGGCAGACTGACAGGGACATAAATAATAACCTAGTACAGGGTACATTGTATGGGTGATTACTAATATTGGTAATGGCAGGCTATCTCCAGCTCTAGATTAGGCCAGGACTGTGCAAAGCATTGACCTGAATGTGACACATTACCCACTGTGTTCAAATGTCCTCACTGTCCAGATAATCATGTCATGGATGATCACTGTGCCAACTACTGTCAGTGCCATGGTGATCCCTGGGCTAGACCATGCTGGCTGGCTTTTTATCTTGGTGTTGTAGCTCAATGAAGCTTTGGAATACTCAGAGTCCAACCAGCAGGTGGTCATAGTACCAGAATGTGGAATGACCACTGACCTGACCAAAACACAGCTGTAGGTCAATCACTAGGTCACACTGACAACTGTTTGTTATTGTCCTTTATGTGGGTCATGGGGCCATGGGGCCCATATTCGTCTGTCCCTATCACTTACCTGAGAGTTGACAGCCTGCCCCATTGGGATTCTGGAACATTCCAGAGCAAACTGTTTGACACAGAAGTAGCAGCCCTGGAGAGAAGGTGAGATTAAAGGTCAGGGAGGTTCACACCTGTAATCATGGCTACTCAGGAGGCTGAGATCTGATGATCATGGTTCAAAGCCAGCCTGGGAAGCAAAGGCTGTGAAACTCTTTATCTCCAATTAACTATCAGAAAACAGGAAGTGGTACTGTGGCTCAAAGTGATAGAGCACCAGTCTTGAGCAAAAGAGCTTAGGGACAGGACCCAGGATCCATGACCACCAACAAAAAAAAGAATCAGACAGGTCTGATTCTTCCCACTCAGTGCTCCCCTACTCACCTGGAAAGTCAGCTCCATGAGGATGATGCCCCCAGGCAGTGCCCGCTGCAGGTGGTAAGTGGTAACAGGAGCACTAGTGCTCTGAAGAAAGGAAAAATGGGGCACGTGTTGGCATAAATCCCTTAGGTTACCGACTAATGGTGTCAGTCTAGGTTGGGCGACCATAGTATATCACTCAGGGTCACTGATCTCACCATGGGGAGATAATTCAGGGTCAGTGACTTGTGTCTATGACATTGCTGATATCATCATGATAGGATAATTAGTTACCTTAGGGCTCCCCTCAGTCTTGGTTTTCGGGCAAGAGAAGGAACTTCGGCCCTCTGTTCCAAGAATAGCCATGGCCCGCAGGCGGCTGGTGCTATAGAAAAGGAAGGGAGATAAAAAGATGAGTCAGAGCTGGGCTCCCCTTGGTAAGCGCCTGTAATCCTAGCTATTCAGGAGATTTGAGATCGTGGTTCAAAGCTAGCCCAGGCAGGAAAGCCCCTGAAACTCTTATCTCCAATTAACCACCAGAAAACCAGAAGTGGTGCTGTGGCTCAAGTGGTAGAGCGCTAGCCTTGAGCTGAAGAGCTTGGGGACAGAGCCCAGGCCCAGAGTTCAAGCCCTGTGAGGCAGATCAGATAGGTGAAGGACTGTGGCTATCAAGGTCTTACTGGAAAAAACTTACTCAGAGATGTGCAGTGAGAAAGCAGCAAGGCTGGACCTGCTATCTGGGACAGCAAGCTGTGCTCAGGGGAGATGGTAGGTAGGAACAGAGGACTGCCTCCTTCTGTCACTACTGGCCAGGAAGTGACTATGGACAAAACTGGCCATAGACAAAGGTGCAAGGAGGCCCAGTGCGAGGGCCTTGATGAGAAAAGCCATCTAGTCCTGAAGAGAAGCCATATGAAATCTCAGGAGAGGCTAGGGGGGTGGTCAGGACAGGAGTTGGTCAGACTCAGACCCAAGAGCTTAAGAGATTCACATGTGTGGGTATATGTGTGTAAACACACAAGGTACAGGTGTACATAAGTTCTGTGACAATGTACGTAGTTCTGTGTTAAATTGTGCTCCTGAGTTCCACAAGTCATATGAAGTTTGCAGGACACCCCTGAAGTCTATATGAAAGTGCTCGTCCAAGAGCCTCACAGATGTGTGCCAGCCCAATGGAGTGGGATGAATGTGCACAAGGCCAAGTTTCGAAAGCAGGATCTATGTGAGGAGGAAGTTCATGGAGTCTCACTCGCAGTGGAGAAGGGTTATGGAAAGGGAGGTGGGCTCACCTGCGGGAGGGTGAGGGGGGCCGCAGTGGTACCAGTGCGAAGCCGATGCTCTGTAGATACTGTACATATTGCTGCATGAAGGCTACGCTTAGCTCCTTCAGCCATGGCTCCTCCCGGGCTCCTGGTAGAGGCACATCCAAGGATTCAGGGGCCTCTCGGTTCCCAGAACCTGACTCTGGGCGATGGCGCCGCTGTGGAAGTGGACATTAAGGCTCTACCCACTGTCAACCTCTTGAAGATAGAGAAGAGGTCCCAGTGAGGTAAACAGCTCTCAGAGAAGAAATCTATGTCTGGAGCCTCACCTGCCCTTCAGGGGGCCCAGAAGACTCTGGGGGTCCATGCAGCCAGGCAGCTGGGTCAAAGAGCAGGGCTGTTGCACAGTAATGGACCAGGCGAGATGACTGCTTCAGGGTCTCCAGCTCCCCAGCCTGAGGACATTCGGGAGGCAGTCAGCTCTGGAGCAGTGGCTAGGGAAGAGTCACTGGGTCTTCATGAAAGATGTAGGCTGGGGTTACAATGGGGGTCACTCACACTGATTGGCATGCTGGCGGGGGCAGAACGCTGCTGCCAGGTCACAAACAGGTTCTCCATCTTCAACTGGCGCTCCAGCTCTGTGGGTGGAAAGCCGTAGTAACTGCTCCAGGAGCTGCCCACAGGTTTTCCCTCCCAACCGCCTGGATCAAAGTTCTCACCTCTGCGCTCTGTCATCTTGATTTCCAGAAACTGTTGTCCATGGTATGTGACAGGGTCTGGAGGTCTGGGTACAGGACCAACTGTGGAGCTGGGGCGGGCAGCAGTGATGTCTCTCAGGGCCTCATCAAAGGGAAATGTGTCCAGGGAAAGGGGACCCCCACCACGAGAGGACCCACTCAGCCGGCCCTGCTCACGGCTCAGTGGGGGACTTGCACTCCGGATGAGGGTCTCCACTTCCATGGTCGGCAGCAGAAATGGGTTTGGCTCCTGAGAGACATGGAGCATCACAGTTGTCGCATGGCCTTTGTCCTTGGACCCTCTCTCCATTTCTGGGTTTCCCCTCTGAGTTTCCCTATTACTTCTGTTCTTAAGTCTGTCCTCTCTCTCCTGCTTTCTTTGATCTCAGTGGCAAGAAAAAGAAGAGGGATGCAGGCAGCAGGTACCTTTTCATCACGCACAGGGAAGTCCAACTGGCCATAATGATGGAACAGCCCCAGCTTCTGACTGAGCAGGCAGAAGATGAGATGTGCCCGTGCGTTCTGCCACTGCACGAGGCGAACCAGTGCTCGGCCCAAGGCCACCCCCAGGTCTGGAGCCCAGTTGTAGGTCAGCAGCTGTAGCTGTAGTTAGAAGTCAGGGTTAGTGAGATCATAGGACCCCTCTTCCCTTCCAGTGACCTGACACTGACCTTTTTGTCCACGACCTCTAGCAGCAGGAGCCTCTGCCGGGGAGCATTTCGTCCTGAGCTCCCATCACCTCCTGACTCAAAGCGCTGCAGGGCTTTGGCAGCTACAGGGTGGAAAAGGACACAATGGGGGCCTGTGAGCAGACCCCTTTAGCCCCATCTTACCCACTGCAGGGTCAGAGAGCAACCGGTAGTCCCTCCCCTTAGTTATACCCTCACCCTGTTGGGTTGGTTTCCTCCACTGCATGAAGTTCCTTCCCAGAAGCAGGAGGTGTCGCTCAGTTGCTGGGCGAGGAGCTGGGCCCAACTGCCCAGGGGTGCAAGGACTGAAGATCTCTGCTTCTGAACCCCTAATGAGAAGGAGGAGCAGGCAAAAAAGGGAAACCATCCATGGCCCCATTCCATAGCCTTTCTCTTTGCTGGCTCCCACCTCTCCTAGCCCAGCATCTATGAGTTTGGCTTCCTATAGTTCCCAGCTTTAGGGGGTTTGGGGAAGTTCCCTCCAATTCCATGAGAACCCAAACTCACAAATGCTGCTCAAAGACACGGACACTGGTGTCTCCAGCCATGGAGCTGACTAGAGTGGTAAACTCAGACAAGATGGATGGAAGAAGGAACCGGGACACCATGTGGGTGGAGCTTCTGGACACCGAGGCACAACCTAGGGGACAGAGAAGTCACTGTGGGACTGAAGGCTGGGGACCAAGACAGGGTGCTGAGGGACGGAGGAGGACTGGGAGGTCTCACCAATCTGAACCATAAACCCCATCCAGCGTTGAATGATACGAGCAAACACAGGGTGCAGGGTCCCCACCTCACCCTCTTCTAGCTGTGTTGTCCGGCGTCTAAAGATAGAGCAGAAGTAAGAACGTCCACATCCATACAGGACACAAGTAAGTGTGTACAAATCGTACACTGCTCTATGACTTTACACCTATACCTTCCCATGATGCAGTACCATAGCACACACATATACCTTTGTCTTTGGGCTCCGGAATCTGGGCCTGATGCTCGCTCAGTTCCACCTGGTGTCCGAACATTTTCAGTTTTATGTCGCCTGCGACCCCGAGTGTCTTCAGGCCGATCCAGGACAATGTCATCAGTTGTTTTGGGAGAACCCAAGTCTCCACATTCTGTTTTACTCTAGGGATAATGTAGGGAATGAGGAAGGGCTATTGGGAAGAAGGGGTAGGGATAGCCAAGTCTGGTGGTTTTGGAGGCCTGGGCTCTGGCCCTGGCATCCATGTGACTAAACAGACATGGGAAAGTTACTCAACTTTACTGTGCCTCTTCCTCATGAGCTTAAGCTCTACTTATCTCACTGGCTATTATGAGGATCCAACAAAAAAATGGAGGCAAAAGCATTGAATAAGTTGGGCTCTCTACATCAGTGAAAATTTACCATGTTGTGCTCTAAAAGGACAGAGCAGTTTTATCTCAAAGCAAGGCTGGGGTTGGGATGGGGTTGAAGGAGTTAGGAGACAGGCAACAAGATAAAGGACAACTTCACTGCTTCCTCCCATTACCAGCATATCCCAGAAACTACGCCGGCCCGCTTTGCTGGGTGGAGTCACAGGCTCCCCAGAACCAGAAGGAAAAGTGCTGGCTCGGCTTGCAGAACTCTTGGTTTCCAATGATCCACTGCTGAGACTTCCTGTGGATACCAGACATTACAGACTGCATCACTAATCAACCCCGCTCCAGACAAGCTAGCTCAAGACTGGCATGAGAGTGCCTGGCCACTTGCTCTACCTGCTACTGAGCACATGCAGCTGAGATGTATTTGTGAGGTAAGATCCTAGGGTGAGCTCCTTCCTCAGGTGATCTCAGTTGCCATGTGTTCACTGTCACTGCTTTACCTTGATGATGTAGAGACAAGGTGATGGACAATTGTGTGTGCCCACCTCTGATGAAACATTTGTGATGTTTTCTCTGAATCCTGCCTTTGTACGCTCACCTACCATACTGTCTTTCCTGGACTTAAAGCATTTCAGGTGTGGGGAGAATGGGAAACAACCTATGATTAGAGATCTTGACTCACATACCTGGGGGTGTGTCCTCTATACACAGTGAAGCTGGCAATAACTGCAGCTCCATGAGGGCATCAGCCAAGGCCTGGCGAGCTGCTCCCCGCAGCTTCTCCTCCAGCTGCACTATGCTAATGTTCCCCTTTTCCCACACATCCAGGCGAAGCTGTGGGGCCCCATTCAGAGCTGAAGAAAAGAATGGGAGTTAGTTGAGGGTCCCCTAGATGCCACCCTACTCATTGCTCTTGCCTGCCACATAACGGACTGAAAACTCCATTCCTCCATCAAGCTGCCCCACCTGAAGAACTGTCCGTTGTGACTGGGCAGCGGATGACCTGAGTCAGTTGCTCAAATTCTTCTTCTTGCAGTGAGTCTAGGGGTCCCGGGGAAGATGGGGGCCACAATGCCAGTGAAATGGGTGCTCCTGCATCATCCACAAAGGCTAGAGTGATACAGGCGACTCCTGCGTAGAAACCCACGGGAAGACTCAGCTTTGGCACTTGCTGACCTCCCCTCCCGAGATCCCCTTCACCTGCAAGGCTGGCAAAGGCTCTCTCAGCCACAAGATGAGAAAAGCCTTTCCTGTACCGGGCAGTACCACAGGCCCATGCCCTGCATTGTACCTTTGCCTCCAGTGCCCTGTCCACCAGGCTTGTTATACAAGTAGATGTCCAAGTCAGGAAGGCCACCTTGTGGTGGGAGTGGATGCTGGGAGAGAAAAGGCATGAAGCACTAAGACAGGCATCCAGAGTGTGCACAGGTATAAGTGCACATGGGAGATCAGGGAGACACAGGCAGAAAACGAACGTGTGTGGAGGGCTAGGTGCATACAGGCCCATGGGCAAAGACACATATGGGAGCAGTACAAGGGATGAGTTCACATGAGAGGTGAGGACAATCTTACTTTGAAGTGGTTCCGGCTGTTGCTGTCTGTGTACTTTGGAGAGTGCAGGAAGATGAGCAGATTTTGCCTCAGGTACCAGGCCAGGGCAGGAAGCCAGGGCCTGCAGGAGCAGGGCAGGGCCAGATGTAGCACTTCTGAGGGGAGACTTCCAGGAGGCTGGATGAACTGCGAGTGGGAAAGGGAAGTCAGCTGAATGTGCAAGCTCCACTGTAAACTGGTCAGATGCTTGCAGCTGAGCTAAAGGAGAGTGTGGGAGAGAACTGACCTCCACATCAGCTGGTGTCAGCTTGCAGTTCCGGACCAGCATGACTGTGATGACATCCAGCGTGGCCTCATCCAGGCGTCGACGCAGGACCCGCACCAGCTCATCTGTGATCTCAGGGCCTTTACAAAGCCATTTTGAAAGACGGAGACATTGGTATAAGATCCAGCTGTACCCATGCCACCCCTCATATACTGGCAGTAATTCAGAGTACTAAAGCTAGAAGGTACCAGAAGTAGGGTCTGGTTCTGCCAAGCTAATCATTGTAAATATGGGCACATGAATTTTACTTCAAAGATTCAGTGCACTCATCCAAAGATGAGAATTACAACAGCATCAACCTCACAGGTGTGTTGCAAATATTATGAGGGAGGTATATAAGAGTGTTAGCCTGAAACTTTGTACACATTACCTGGGGACCTTAGACTCAACATAGCCCCAAATGAACCCATTATCTTTACTCTTGTCCACCCCTGGTCTCAGGCCCATGAAGGCAACTATCCTAGTCACCCAGCTCTTCTTCCCACGTTGTAACTCAATTAGTTCTTATCCTAATCCACCTAAATGTTACTGGAGTCTGTCCTCTCCCACCCAGCTCCTGTTCAGAGCAGCAACTGGAAGAGGGGGCCCCAAGCAGAGTAGGAAGAGACTTTGAGAGACATTCTCAAGGATTCTGGGATATAATGAGTCACTTCCAAACCTTTCCTGTTTTTTACCTGCCTGCCCTACACCGTGTACCAGCAGCTGGATATGCCTGTCCACTTGGCCCACGGGGCGAGCAGTATCTGAACTACGGCTGGAAGCCATGTCCATTGGAGAACGAGGACCCTGCAGGGACAAATACGGTCAGGTTCTAGCTCTAGGAAACAAAGTACAAGGGGAGCACAGGGGACATGAGGAGTGGGAGCAATACGTGCCAAGGCTTCCTCAGAGTAGATAGGCTCCTGGCTCCGGGACAGAGCTAGGGAAGGGGGCAGGGTATCCCCTTCCCATGGCCGGTCACTGCAAGATGTCTCCAGGAGCCTGAGAAAGAAAGAGGCATGACGTGTCTCTTGACTTTAACTTGTCCCTGACTTTAAACCAGCTTTTTGGGATCTACATACCGAAGATAGTATACAGCCTTGGTTGCTCGCTCCTGATAAACAAACATATTCTTCCGGTTCACCACAGAAAAGGCATTGAGCACAGAGCGCAGGGCCTGTATGGCTGGGGGAGTAACATGGACTTAAGAAATTCTCTTCCCCACACCCTTCACCCTACTCTCTCGTGCCATTACATACCACGAGAGACCCCCATACTGGGCCCCATCTTGAGGCGTGAATGGACTCGGATCACTGTTCCCCATACAACATCACAGGAGAAATGGCCAGGGACAAACTGCATGGTGGCTGCCAGATACCCTCGGGGTGCACAGCTCTCATCAGCAGCATAATCTGGAGGAGAGAAAACATGGATTAGAAACAAGATTCTTAGCTCTTCACCAGAATACTCACCTGGGAATTAGCCACTTGTTCTCAACGCCTCCAGATTTCTTGTCCCTCTTTGCTCGTCAGAAAAAGCTGATCTTTGGTGACAAGGCAGGGCTAAGCAGAGGCATGCCCTAAGGAAGCCAGGTCACAGCACAGAGGCTTTCAGAACCATCTCAAGGAGATTTGAGAAGGAACTAAGGACAAGTGTTGACAAAAGCAAAGCATAAGGCAATTCTGAAGACAATGCCACAGGTTTTGGGTCCTGTTATGACATATGTCAGGAGCCCTATTAGCCGTTGTCCTCAAAAGAAGCGGCAATAGTAGCCTCATTAGAACAGAAAGGCTATGGTTACTTATGTATTCCAGCTGTGGAGTGAGGGAAAATATATCCTATCTTTGGAGGATAGATATACCAAAGGGTGATGTGACAATACTTAAGAGCCATGGCCACAGTCCAATGCCTTGTTTGATCTTTGTCAGTTTCTAGGTGGACAAGGAACCTTCAGTAGGTGAAAAGTTTTGTTTCCCAGAAATGCTGTCAGATGTCAGCAACAAACAGGATACTCAGGAGACTGCAGAGTTTCTGCATAGAAACTGGCACAGGATGCTGTTGCTAAGGGTTTCAGAGAAAAAGATAGAGACTAAAATGAAGAAAGGCTGTGTCTGGGTTCTGACTGGTCTAATATCCCAGGCTGCTAGGAGTCACCCTGAAGTAGAAGTGCTTTGTTGTCCTAGCATATTCTCAAGTTGCAGAAAGTGTCTTGAAAACCACAAGAGTCCACTAGTTATAGGGTTTCTGCTTTACTGCTTTAATATGAGGAATGTCCCAAGATGTGCTGAGATGCACCATATCCTGGCATTCTTAAGAATGTTAAACATAAAGAGTGATCTGATTTGAAGCCAGAAGGAAGAACTGTAAAAGGACAAGACTTGCTTTCTCTTCTATGGGCTAGGAAAAGAGGTTATCAAAGTAAAAGAAGGGGAAAGAAGTGTTGAGACTCCTATTACTAGCTCAAGTAGATTTACATGTTTCCTTACCGTGACTTGAAATCCCAAAAAACTCTAAAGAGCCCTGTGCCTGACTGTTCACAGAGACAGCCAGTCAAAAAGCCAGATCTGGCTGGCTGCTGCTGGCTCACACCTATAATCCTAGCTACTCAGGAGGCTGCGATCTGAGAATTGCAGTTCAAAGCCAGCCCAGGCAGAAAAGTCCATGAGACTCTTTAATAAACCACCAGAAAACTGGAAGTGGCACTCTGGCTCAAAGTGGTAGAGCGCTAGCCTTGATTGAGCTGAAGAACTGAGGGACAGCGCCTAGCCCCTGAGTTCAAGCCCCACAACCGATCCTCTCTCCCCCCCCCCAAAAAAAAAAAAAAAAATCCAGCCCTGTTATAGGACCATAGCCTCTCCCCTCTGTTCTTCCATGTGGGAACTGGCCTACTTATTCTCACTCCTTTAGACTCCTTATCCCTGTCTAGTCCCCTTTTGGGGAAAATTAAACAATTTGGATATCAAAGCTGGACACAGGTGGCTCATATCTGTAATCTTAGCTGCTCAAGAGTCTGAGATCTGAGGATCAAGGTTTAAAGCCATCCTGGGCAGAAAGGTCTGTGAAACACTTTTCCCCCCTGGTCATGAGGCTTGAACTCAGGGCCTGGGCACTGTCCCTGAGTCTCTTTGTGCTCAAGGCTAGAAATTTACCATTTTGAGCCACAGCTCCACTTCTAGTTTTTAAATGATTAATTGGAGATAAGAGTTTCACGAGCACTTTTCTGCATGGGCTGGCTTCAAACTGTGATCCTCAGATCTCAGCCTCCTGAGTAGCTAGGATTATAGGTGTGAGCCACTGGTGCTGCTGTCTGTGAAACTCTTTTCCCCACTTAACCAGCAAAAAGCCATAGAAGTGGTGGTTTGGCTTAAGTGGTAGATATCAGTCTTGAGTGAAAAAAGCCAAGTGAGGGAGGCCTTGAGTTCAAGCCCCAGTACTGGCACCAAAACCAAACCAAACCCAACTGTGGTGACAGTATCAAGAAAGGCCATGTGGAGGCTTGCCCTTGAGGACTATGTGATACCCAAATGCTAATCATCTCCCCTGCTTGGCTCTTTCTCTAAGGGACATAAACATACTCAAGTCTCTGTCTTAAAGTTCCTTCCTTGCCTTTGTCTTCCTTCAGTTATTCTCTTTTTTGTTTTCACCACCACTTGAAAGAACGGTTATTCTTTGTCTCACCTGTCTATCTTGACTTTTCCATTATCAGTTCCTTCTCGATCTCTCCAATGAAACTGCTTTCATGAAAGTCACTGATGCCTAGCAGCAGCAGGATCCAGGCATCCTATCTTACTTACCCATGACTCTAACCCAAAGACTGGATATAAGAAAGAGCAGTGGCACCACCTCGTGAGGGAGGCTGCTGGATGGGATCATACCATCACTAGGTAGCAGTGCCCGCTGGCGCGAGTGGAAGGGTGTCTCGCTACGCCACAGATCTTCTTCACTCTCTGCCACCAGAAGGGAGTTACACACATGACTGTCATGCAGGTCCTGAAGGAGCAATCGCTGGGAAAAATAACAAGATGTAAGAAAACTGAAATACCTCTTCCTAAGTGAATGATGGTCAGGAGGATCGGAGGCTAGAAAGAATGCCCACCATTTTGATTACTATTACTGAAGGTCAAAATAAGGACATTAGGAGACCAGACTGGGATACATACTGAGACCTTATCTCAAAAACCGAAACACCACATTAACATAAAAGGACCTCAGTAATCAGAGATGGTGTCCTACCCTAAACAAGCTTAGGGCTGAAAGCAAATCCAGTGAGGAGCACTTATCCTTACTCTTGGTCAGTATCTAGTCACTTTCCTTCAATTCTTAAACTAAAACTACTTTGGATGGTCAGCTCCTTTCCTATTATATGATCTCATAGCAGTCTTTGCTTTTCCTCTGAGATTCTTCACAACCATCACTGAAGTAATTTGTATACTTTAGTTATTCAATATCTATATCCCTTACTCTAAGCTCTAGAGTCAGTTTCACAGTAAATCTCTAATGCTAGCACACAGTACAATGATAGGAAATATTTCAGTCACTGGCAAGGAATAAAAAGGAAACTCAGCCCAGGGGCTGCGAATTCATGCCTATAATCCTAGCCATTCAGGAGGCTGAGCTCTGAGAATTGAGGCTAGAAGCCAGTCGGGCAGGAAAGTCCATGAGACTCTTATCTCTAATTAACTACCAGAAAACCAGAAGTGGTGCTGTGTCTCAAAGTGGTAGAGTGCTAGCCATGAGCAAAAAGAGCTCAAGAACAGTACTCAGGACCTGAGTTCAAGCCCCAAGAATGGAACAAAAGAAAAAAAAAAGGGAACTCCACTTCCAGGGGTGGGTTGGAGAGCTTCCTTATTGGTAAGGAGTTAAGAGAACAGCCCAGAGTTATTACTGAGTCTGAGATACACTGACAGCCTCTGAAAGTCAGTTCCTGGAAACCCCCTTCCTCTTTTGTTCTGTTTTGTCTCAGTGCTGGAGAGCCCTCGCCCTGGCTGCTTCTTACCTGGTTGACCTCCCTGCAGATCTCCCCAACTCGCCTCACCAGGAGCTGCTGCAGGTGGCGACACTCAGTGCCAGGCCCTCCATCCTCCCGAATCAGGCTCCTAGGAAGGATGGATGGATCAGACATAGAGCTGTAGTGGGGAAGGAGTTTTAAGTGTCATGAATATGATCTGGGGAACCCATAAGAAGGAAGCAGGACTGGACAGAGGGAAGTGAACCTGACAGGAAAGAGGGAAAATGGAATTCTCAAGAGCAGCTCTGGAAGGCTTAGCTCCACACTTGCCTTACACCAGCTACCAGGTGGCGCCACACTAACACTAGCACTTGCGCCCTGCAATGAGGCTCTTCTTCATAAGAAGGGTCTTCCCTGCTCTCAACCCCACTCCAAGAACAAAGAGTGTGTAAGAGATGCCTAGCTGTAAATTCTGACTTGACCAAGTATTCCACTGCTTTATGCTGAGTTACTTCCTTCATGCCCTCATGGTAATATGATGTAGGGATGTTACACAGATTAGATAAGCTGTTCCATGTAAAATGCTATGAGTGCCTATAGAATTATAGGCTCCTTTGTTTTGTTTTGTTTTTTTGTTTGATTTTTGTTTTGTCAGTCATGGGGCTTAAACTCAGGGCCTAAGCACTGTCTGCTCAAAGCTAGCATTCTACTGCTTTAAGCCACAGCTCCACTTCCAGTTTTCTGGTGGTTAACTAGAGATAAGAGTCTGATGAGCCTGTGCAGATGGCTCAAGGCTATAATCCTAGCTATTGAGGAGGCTGAGATCTGAGGATCACAGTTTGAAGCCAGCCCAGTCAAGAAAGTCTGTGAGAATCTTACCTCTAAAAAACTACTCAGAAAATGCCGGGAGTGGGCTGGGAAGGTGGCTCAATGGTAGAGCACTTGCCTTGCATGCCTGAGGCCCTGGGTTCGATTCCTCAGCACCACATAAGCAAAAAGAAAAAAGCCGGAAGTGGCGCTGTGGCTCAAGTGGTAGAGCGCTAGCCTTGAGCTGAAGAGCTGAGGGACAGCGCCCAGGCCCAGAGTTCAGGCCCCATGACTGGACACCCCCCCCCAAAAAAAAAAAAAAAAAAAAAGAAAATGCCGGGAGTATGGCTGTAGCTCAAAAGGTAGAGTGCTAGCCTTGAGCACAGAGAGGCTCAGGGGCAGTGCCCAGGCCCTGAGTTTAACCCCAGAACTGGCAAGGAAAAAAAAAAAGTCTCACAGACTTTCTTGCCCAGACTGGCTTCAAACTTTGATCCTCAGAACTCAGTGCCCGGTTTTATTACTCCCTTGTTTTATCACCCTTTGAAGCCACTCTGAACTGTACATGTTCTTAATGCTCAGTTAGAAGCCAAAATCACCATTAGCTTTGCAACTCCATTGAGAAAGGTGAGAGTACTGTGCTTTGCTAGGAAGATTTGGGAAGAGAGCTGGAGCCTAGACCTTAGAGTACAAATCAGACTGAAGCTCTCAGTCTCAAATCTAACTTTTAATAATGCCAGGGTCAGGAAAAAGCAGTTAAATTAGGGTTGGGTGCAGGGCCTCCATGCTTCCACTTACCGTGCATGTGCATACACTTCCACACGATCTTGCAGGACTCGAGCAATAAGCCAGAAGTCAGGCAGGCAAGGCCCAGGGAGGCCTGAGAATGAAGGCTGAGGAGGTGCTGGCCCAGGTGGAGTCCGCAATGTGAAGGAAGCCTTCTCACCAAGAGTATCATGGGGCTCTTCACTGTCAGAGCCACTGCTTCCACCATCATAACCTGTGTCAAACATACGGAAACATTTAGTTCATCCTTAGCACAGCCTGACTCACTTGAGCCCTTTAGTATACTGAGCTTGATGATTCCCTTCAAATGAGCTCCTTTTGATATCTATGCCCATATCTTCCTCTGTGCAGTCCAAGACCACCTGCCATCATCTTAGAATCCTCTACTTCTGCCCCAGCTTACCTAGGTGATCTGAGTCCACACTGCCTTGACTGGACATGAGGCTTAGTCCCCGGCTGGGCCCAGGTTGGCTCCCTGAACAGATAAGGGAAAGTTCTGGAACTTCTCTGGATATTTTCTACAGCCTCCTTTTAGAAACGGAAACTGGCCCAGATTTACATCTCAAGCTCTCACCTTCCTGTGGTAGGCTAGGCAGGCTGATGACGGGGGTGCACTCAGAATCCTCTGGGGAGCCAAGGGTATGGGGGCTGGCTGTCACGGCCTGAGGGACAGAAATCAAGACTAATGTACAGTACCACATACACCCCACCATCCTTCTCCATCCTCACACCAGACTTACCTCTCCTTCACCACTTTCAGCCCTGTCCTCATGGCCGTGCCAAGCCCAGGCCTCTGAAGGGGTCTCCCCTTGGGGCCCGCTTGGCTGCTGGCCAACTGCCACAAAGAAGAAGCCACTGTCAGGGTCCTCAAGGAGAATATGGCCAGGGAGGTAGAGGCGGCGGAACTCCTGGGGAGCAGGAGTTAAGGTCACAGTTTAAGCAAAAGTAGCCTTCCCAATATATAGAAGCCTACGCTTCCTGATCAGACACTCCAACCACCCGGTGAAGCAGACGCCAACAATCCCACTGCTGAGGTAAGATAAGGTTTAGTGATTTTCCATAGCTCAGTAAGCCCAGTGACAAGGTTGGAAGCTGGGTCTCTCTCCACTGGCCTGCCAGGCATAGGGATGAGGAGCAGACAATATGATGAGGAGGGAAACAGGAACGGTAATTCTATGGACTCAAACTAAGAAAACCCAGTTCTGTGCGTGGGGTCCAGGAAGGATGGGCTCCAATCAGACCATAAAGTATTTGGAAGGCAGCTTACCTCCTTGAATTGTGTGAGGGAGCGCTCTGGCCCAAACACAAAACTCAGTGGAAGGGTCTGTCGAAGGCAGGTGGAGCGCCCAGGAGAGCTATGGATATGGGCAGCTGCTCGATGCAGGGCAGGGCTCTGGGGAATTCCCCCTCTTCGGAGTGCCCCCACCATCTCATCTTCTAACAACCAGCGGATCTACAGGCAGAGAGGAACGAACCCCTTGCTTACTGAAGCTTTATCTCAATTCTAGACCAGAACAGTCTAGATGATACTCTGCCTTCTAGACAGAGTCCTGTGAGATGCCTTCTAGGCCTCAATTCAATCTCAGAATAAAAAGGGTGCCCCATCTCACTTATATGATGGAAAGGGTATGAGTTACAGCACTAGGGGTCTGTTGCTTATGCTGGATCATAGAAAGCCCTCACCTCACTCATGGTGGTTTCAATAGCCAGTCTGTGGGGTGTGGTTAAATTGGATAGTCCTGAGTGCCTAAATGGAAGAAAGGTTTAGGTATGAGTTTCCAGAAAAATGAAACTGAGGGGAATGAGGAACTCTGAGAGGAGCATAAGAACATAATATACCTCTCCTCTTCTGGGGGTGGCAGCGGGGGTCCCAGGCCATCATCTGATCTTAAGGAGGACGGTTGCCCTGGGGACCGTGGGAATGAAGCACTGCTCTCAGATGTTGACCTGTACCAGGATGGGAGCAAAAGTCAAAGGTCAGGAGATAATATTCTCCCAGTGCATCTTCCAGGTCTCCTTAGTCCCCAGGTCCCTTAAATTCTTTTACTGGCCCTCAATTTCCACAAAGTCCCAGGCCCCCCCACCCCCTACCAAGCTGGCTGCCACACCGATGGTGCTGTGGGTCCGAGGCTGGAGGGAGCTCCACTTCTAGTGGCAAAGTCAGCACAAAGACATCCAGAGTGATACTGAGGTCCCTTAGGGGAACTCGGCCTCCAATTGGGGGTCCTTCCAGACTGGAAAGCACCTGGCCTGGGAGAGGGGGACAGTTAAGAGGTTGCTGGGGACCCTGGGAAAAGCATATCTTCCATACTTCCAGGCTGTCCTCCATTTCCAGGCGGGCAAGCAAGCTGTACTATGATCTCTGGTGTTCCCAGGGCTCCCCCAAACTCACTCAGGCAGGTGGGCAGGCTGCACACAGGTACCGAGCTGTGCTGCCCACGCAGTCGCACAGAGCATGTAAGGTGTAGGAAGAGGGGTGGCAGGTCATGCATGAGGCTCTCAGGCCCAGTGGGTGAATCGCCTCCCAAGATACTGAAGGAGTCTTCGTCAGGATTAACAGTGTCTGCATCTGACAGCGAGGCAGAGTCTAGCCCAGCAAGCCCCAGGTTGGGTTCACGGGTCTCACGGTATTCCACTTCCAGCTCTGGGTCACTCTCAGTGACCACACAACAGGCAGATGTATATCCTAGTGGGTCATAGAACATGGTCAGCAGGATGGCAGTAGAGGTCACTGGGCCTGCCTTAAAGCAGCCTCCTCCCACACCGTAATCACTTGCTCACATACCTTCTTCTCCCATGATCTCAGCCTCTGAAAACTCAAGGTCACTGACTTTCCTGTCTACTGTGTCCCGGGGACCCTCATCCTGTAAAAAAATATAGCTGTAAAAAATACAGCTGATCCAAAAGGATCCATGCACATCCAGGCCCTGGGTTGGGGATACAAGACAGGGAAGGAAGAAAGCCACTCACCTCTCGCCTACTGGATGGAGGGCAGTAGAAGAAGTAGTGGGGATTGGAGGGTACTGTGCGGAAGTGGAGATGACTGATCTCTAGGAACTTCTCCTGTTGTAGAGTGTAAAAAGAGCTATGATGTCAGTTTCCCCTGGAAGAACGTTAATTTTTTACTAAAACAAGACGGATGGTACCCTTAACCCAGAGAACACTGTCCTCTGCATGAGTAGGAATGTATCCCTCTTCTGTTCTCACCTGGATGAGGCTATGAAGGGCATCATGTGCCTCCCCTCTGAGTTGGCAGACATCTGTCAGAGAGATCTCTGGGCCAGGGTCTGAATTACCAGGGACACGGGTGCTCTGAAACTCAGGCTCACTTAGGTCCTCTGTCTCTATACTGAGTAGTTGGGTTTGGGGAGAAAGCATACCAGTGTTAAGAACTTTAAGTGTTAAAGTGTCTGCTTCCCAACCGGGGAGCAGCGTACACCAGTCTCCGTCTGTTCAGGGTAGCACAACAGCTGGTGTGGTGATACAGGCAAGGAGAACCAACCCATTCATTTGAGTTCCAATCTTCTTATCTAAGGGCCAGACATTTCTGTGAAACAAAGTGTGGATGATGGTAGTTTTTTGACTTGTATCAGTAGGTGGAAGATGAATGGAGAAGGCAAGGTTTGTTGGGAAGAAAATGTGTTCACTTTGAGGACATGAGAAGTGGGAGTTCCTAAGTTCGGACCTATGAGTATTCCCACCACTCTAGTTCCAATGGCAACACATTGCAGAGGCTAGCACAGAGCTGTTTGCCTGCTTGTGTTTTCCTTCTAGTCCTTCACCCAAAGGGAGGGGCTTACTGTGGGAAAACAGGTTTGGGCTTGATGATGTACACAAATTAGTTTGGGAGATTGTTACTATTCTATGGAGGGCCTCCCAGAAAATCTCCACTTCACTTTAACAACTGGGAACTCCATAGCTTGGACTTGGCTCATTAGACCACACTAAAGAAGCAGAGTCCTGGAGCTGTCTGGAAGTGAGATTGCTGCCAGAGTCAAAGGGAGAAAGCATCCTGCATAGAAAGCTAGTGACACGACATGCTACATTCCAGGACTAGAAGGTCCCTCATTACCCGTTCTGCCCCTAGTACTGGGGATTGAACCCAAGGTTTCAAGTATGCTAGGCTACTCTGCCGCTTGGGCAACACCCCCAGCATTTTTGTTGTATTTTTTTTTTTTTTTGTACCAATAACTTTGCCTGGGGTGGACCTAAAATTGTGATCCTCCTGCCTCTTCTTCCCAAGTAGCTGGGATTACAGATGTGGGCCACTATATCTGGCTAGGTTTTTGAATAAGGACTTGATCTGTGTGCCTCCCTGCCCTGATGTCATTCAAGAACAACCCTAACCTGGACTCAGAAGCTAAGACAGCTCGTTCCCGAGGCTCTGGGCCCTCCTCAATGCTGCTGCTGAAGGGTCCTGGGCTTAGAGGACCAGGGCTTGGGGGTGCATGAGGCAAACCCCAAGTATGGCCACACAGTGCAAGCAAGAAAGAGGTGATGTCTATTTCTTGTAGTAGCTCCTCACAGGCATCCACCGCTGTCAGCAAATCCTGGCAAGTCACACTCTGTGCCTGCTGCAAGCTCCGAAACAGCCCTGATGGAATGGACCATGATCAGGGTCAGCTCTGGAGCAGTCTCTCCAGGCCCCACCTGCCATCTCCATGTATCTACTTCCACATCCCCACTCCTTTACATGGCGTTCTTACTCACCACGAACATAGCATCGCTGTGCATGCTCCTGCAGCAAGGTACAATGGGTGGCTGCCTCTTTATATCTGGGCTCCATCCACACTGAGGAAGCTGAGGGATGGTCTAGGAACTGAGTCCTAGGAACGGGAGGGAAAACAGCTTGGATAACTCCCCTAAGTGGTACCTTGAACTCATCAGCCACCTGTACTCCATAGCATGTTCAACTGACTTGATGAGGAAAACTAAATCAAGAAGCTGGTAGGATATACCTAAGAAGTTCCTGCTGACTACCTCTGAATGTATGCCCAACTTTGTCAGAGAAAGATACCAGGTCAAAGTCAAGGGCACTCACCTAAAAATGAGGTCTCGAGGTGCCTGCGGGGGCTGTACGCCAACCATTTGCTCCCTCAGTGCTTCCAGTGAACAGCTATAGATGTAGACAGGACACCGGGTCCGTAGTCCATCTGTACCCTCTGTCTGGGAAGCCTGACGCCCAGTACAAGCCTGTAAGTCCCGACGGAAAAGTAGATTTTGCTCGCCTTGATCACAGGCACTGTCTGTGAGGAAAGGTGTACCTTAGTCTTTACACTTTCTATTTGCTTTCCCATCCCATTTCTGCTTAACTGATTTCCATCAGCAGTCTTACCACCAACTGGGGTTATACTGAGAATAGGGACTTGTGGCTTTGTAGCCTTGGTCCCAGTTTCTTCCATATCTTTCAGGTTGGGGGCTCCACTCCAATCCCCAAACTTAGGCTTTGCTTCCTCTTGAAAGGGTCCCTCCAGGCCACAAGCAGCCAGACGTTGAACATCTAGGGAAGAGACAAACCAATCAGGGCTGTCTGATAGGCCAGTGAGTGAGCTCAAGGTTTTATACCCAAGGAGGTAAGGAAGGTCAGCAGTTAGTACCTGAGAAAGTAGCTGGGAGAAAAGTCAGAAACATATGCTGTGGGGTCACCAGCCTTGCATAGCAGCGCCACTGAGGGGGCTGGGAAGAGATGAGAGGCCTTAAAGTTTCAAGACCCATACTCTGTAAGAAAGAAACAGACTATTAGAGCAATCTACAAGGCCTGGTGGCCATTGTTTTCTCCTACAGAGAGCTGTACCTTGGCCATTCATAATGTCTAGCAAAAGTCACCATCAGAGACAGCTAGGGCCCCAAAAGGCAGCCACCTCAGATGTCTGGAAGTCAAGGAGCTCTGGGATTACTGACTAGACCACAGAGCACAGGCTATATAACAGGCAGCAGAGACTCTGAAGGGAGTGGTATGGTAGTTTTCCATGACTCCATCCTCACTGACTAGGAGAGAACTGCATAGCCAGAGGCTAGGATAAAATGAACTTTTGAATGGGAGTTCTATGAGTTACTTATCATCTAAGCTTAAGTGCTGACTGCAACAGCCCCATGCACTTTGCAGAAGTATATGTGTATGTTTATATATGCATACATACATATGCGTATATATACAAACGTACACATATATTCAAGTACACATGTATGTATATATACATAAATATATATTTACGTATACACACACAAGAATAATTTATTCCTACTTTTTAATATGTGTCTAATTTATTATTTTGGTTTTAACTTTTTTGGGGGTCAGTTGTGGGGCTTGAACTCAGGGCCTGGGCCTTGTCCATGAGTCTCTGTGCTCAAGGATTTTGGGTGGTTAATTGGAGATAAGAGTCTCATGGGAACTTTTCTGCCTGGTCTGGCTTCAAACTGTGATTCTCAGATCTCAGCCTCCTTAGTAGCTAGGATTACAGGCTTGGTTTTAACTTTTTTATTTAACTGTATAATTTTTTCTGACGTAAGCCATTTACCTCTTCCCATTCACTTTTTAGGCCTGCTTATCCCTGCTCCTTTCCTTTCTTTGAATTCATCATATATCCGTACAATAACACCTGCCTTTCAGTATTCGATTTTAAATATTTTTATCTCATTTAATAGCTCTTCCCCATTTATACTTTTCTTCTACCAAGTACAGCTGTTTTGTTACCCGTATTTCCTTCTACCTCTGTTTCCATAACCTTAGTCTTTTCTCATTACCTATACTCTCACTGGGTGCTTGAATATCATTCATTTTATGTGTTTTTGTTTCATGTTAGGCATTTTGAGTACTATTTGGTTTTCACTTTGCTTCTTTTTCTCTTTTCATTGTTATTGTGTATGTATAGTGAATTCTCTTAATTTTGCCTTCACCACCCAGTATTTAGCTAATTTTTTTTCCTACTCATTCAATCCATTTCCTATTTAACTTTTCCTATTCAACTTATCTCTCACATTATAATGCTTGTATATGCAAATATACAGAATAAAGAAAGAATATTGAAAGCTTACAAAGATAGGAAACAAGTAACTTACAACTGCAAGCCTATTAGAATAACAGCAGATTTCTAAATGCAAGGATGTTCAAGCTCAAAACCTAAGTATCAACCTAGAGTAGTATATTCAGCAAAGCTATACTTCATAATTAAGGGAGAAATAAGAAACTTCCACGATAAGCTAAAGTTACTGGAACTCAAGACTACTAAACTAGCACTGCAAAAGATACATGAAGGAATCCTACCCACAGAAAAAGAAAATACAGGAAAGAATAAACTCTACTAGATGAGTAGATTAGCAAAGGAGAAATAGGGAAGAAGTATCATAAAAACAATAAAATGACAGGAAATATGACACATCTTTCAATATTTATGTTGAATGTTAATTGTCTTAACTCTCAATCAAAAGATGTAAAATGGCAACTCAACTACGTGTTGCCTGCAAGAAATATATGCCACTGAAAAGACAAACATAGGCTGAAAGAATAGAAAAGCACATGGATCCCGAAAGCAGTCAGAAGTAGCCATACTTATATCTGATAAAATAGACTTCAAACAAAATCAGTTGGAAAAGACAAAGGTTAGTTATATTAATAAAGGGAAGGAGCCATGAAGAAGTTTTTAACATATATCCATCCCAAACTGGCACCCTCAGGCTTATTAAACACACAATTTGGGACTTACAAACACAATAATAGTGGACACTTCAATAACCCACTCTTACCAATAAACACATCATTTAAACAAAAGATCAAACAGAAACCTCAAAAATATATGATACCATAGACCAATGGATTAAGCAGGTATTTACAGAATATTTCATCCAGTAGCAGTAAAATACACATTCTTTTCAGCAGCCCATGGAACTTTCTCCAAAACAGATCATACTGCAGGAAATTAAGAAAGGCTAAGGAAATGTAAGAAAATTGAAATAACTTCCTGCATTCTAGCAGACTATAATGGAATTTAGCTAGAACTCAAGAGCATATCACAGATATCACAGAAAATATTTAAATACATGGAGGACAAACAAAACATTTGTTGAATGATGAGTAGATCACTGAAGAAATAAAAGGAGAAATCAAAAAGTTCCTGGCATCTAATGAAAATGAAAACACACCTGTTGGGATATAGCAAAGGCAGTGTAGTATTAAAAGGAAAATTTAGGGCTGGGAAGGTGGCTCAGTGGTAGAGTGCTTGCCTTGTATGCATGAGGCCCTGGGTTCGATTCTTCAGCACCACATAAGCAGAAAAAGCTGGAAGTGGCACTGTGGCTCAAGTGGTAAAGGGCTAACCTTGAGCTGAAGAGCTGAGGGACAGTGCCCAGGCCCAGAGTTCAGGCCCACAACCGACAAAATAAATAAATAAATAAACAATAAAAGGAAAATTTATAGCTATGAGTGTCTACATCAAAAGAACACAGAGCTTTCAAACAGCCTAATAATACAAACTTCTAAAACAAACAGAAACAAATCCAAAATTAGTGGACAGAAATAGTAAAGATTAAGACAGAAATAAATGAAATAGACTTAAAAAACTATATAAAGAATCAGCAAAACAAAATTTGGATTTTTGAAAAAAATAAGATAAATTACAGCCCAGGTAGACAAATCCCCAAAGTTGGTTTTTTTTTTTTGTCAATTATGGGGCTTGAACTCAGGACCTAGGCACTGTCCCTGAGATTTTTTTGCTCAAAGCTAGCACTTTACCACTTTGAGCCACCAATGCCATTTCTGGTTTTCTGGTAGTTAATTGGAGATGAGTCTCACAGACTTTTCTGCCCTGGCTGGCTTTGAACCATAATCCTCAGATCTCAGCCTCCTAAGTAGGTAGACTTACAGGTATGAGACATTGGCACTTGGCCCAAAGACTCTTATCTCCAGCAAAAAGCTGGAGCTGGAAGCATGGTTCAAGTTGTAGAGAACCAGCCAAGAATGGAAAAAACAAAACTAAGTGAGAGCATGAAGCCCCAAGTTCATGAAGAAGTCAATATCACTAACCATAAAGGAAATGTAAGCCAAAACTACACTACCATACCATCTCACTTCAGTCATAATGATAATCATCAAGAAAACAACAACAAAAGCTGTTAAGGATGTGGGGATAAAGGAACCTTCATACACTGCTGGTGGGAATATAATCTTTGGAAATCAGTATGATGGCTTCTCAAAAGACCAAAAGCAGACCTATCGGGGGTGGGAAGGTGGCTCAGTGGTAGAGCGCTTGCCTTGCATGCATGAGGCCCTGGGTTCGATTCCCCAGCACCACATAAACAAAAAGAAAAAAAGCCGGAAGTGATGCTGTGGCTCAAGTGGTAGAGCGCCAGCCTTGAGCTGAAGAGCTGAGGGACAGTGCTCAGGCCCAGAGTTCAGGCTCCACGACCGGACCAAAAAAAAAATAAAAATAAAAAATAAAAGCAGACCTATCTATGACTCTGTCATTGTACTACTGGACATATACTCCAAAAAATGCAAATCAATGTATAAGAAAGACACCTGCATACTCATGTCTAGTGCAACACTGTTCAAACTAGCCAAATAGTGAAATCAGCCAATGTGCCTAACAGATGAATGGATAAAGAAGTTATAGCATATGTATATATATATATATTTATATATATACATATATAGATATCATAGATTACACAGTAATAAAAACAAAATGTCATTTACAACAGAGAATATCATGTTACATGAGATAAGCTAAACTCAAAAAGCCATATACTATATGCTTTTGCTTATATGTAGAAGCTAGACCTAAGACATACATATTCATGTACACACACACACACACACACACAAACACACACACACACACACACACACACACCAGAAACATAAATTTATACGCACACATAATACATAAAACATGATTCTATCTATGGGATCATAGAGGATGATGAGAAAGGGATAGAGAAAAAATGATAGGGGGGTAGGAGGGGTGGGGAGATGGGAAGGGATGGGAAGGGGAAACAAAGGAGGAGGCAACAATGCTTGATAAGAAATGTACTCATTACCTTGTCCATGTAATTGTAACCCCTCTGTACGGTATTTTCACAATAAAAAAGAAAAAGAATAAAAAGGGGAAAAAAAGAAAAAAAATGATAGTGAATTAATTTCAAATATAGTGCATCTATGTATGAATAAGGCATTAAAAAAATCCTCAATGAAAGACACTGGTCACTAGGGGATGTGGGGGGCAGAGAAAGCAAAAGAAGGTTTTTCTGGCAAAACATAATATAAGCCTACTTGAAATGCCATAGTGAAAACTCTTGGTGCAGTTAATATACACATACACACACTGGTAAGAGGTGGGAGGGCTAAGGAAGATGAACGGAGATGAATATAGTCAACATAGTTTATTTATGAAAATAGAAGAGTCAGACCCTTTGAAATTGTTTTAAGAATGTGGAGGGGATGGAGAGGGACAGAGAAAAGGAGGTTGACCAAGGTACCCTGTTTACGTGTGTGTGGAAATGTCACAATGAACTTGCCCTTGTACAACTCATGTATGCTAATTAAAAAAATAAAAGGAAAACATAGAAAGGCTAACAGGTTCATGAAGAAGTCAAGCCAGGCATTGTAGCTCACATCTGTAATCCTAGCTGCTTGGGAAGTTAGCAAATTGTGATTCTAAGCTAGCCTGGGCTATCTCAACAAATACAAATCTGGGTGTGATGTCCACCACAAAGAAAAAAAAAAAAGGAAATTGGGTCTGGGCATGGGTGTGCGGTGATGAAAGGAGCCAGTATCACAAGGGCTCACAAAGAAGAACCAGTGCTCACCAAGGAAGGAAGGGCTGGGTCTCCAGTAGTCTGGGTGCTTTCAACTACTTGATCCTTCAGGATCCCATCACCCCCAGCAGGTGGACCCTCTGTACCTACAATGGAGTAGAGAGGGCAAAGCCAGTGTGGAGCAGGGCTCTGAGTTGAAGAGAAGGGTGAGGCCAGAGCTTAAAGGCAGAAACCACCCTGGGGGTTAGGGAAAGTGTTGGAGTCTAGCATTAGGACACACAAGTTCACCTGGATCATAGCAGGTCCGTCGCAATGCTTCACTCAAGAAGGCAGCCTGGTCAGCAGGGGTCAGTGGGATCTCCCGGTCACTCAGCTCCTGTCCCAGGCAGCTGTGCAGCAGGCACAGCACCATGTCGTTGGTGGCACAGGGCCCCTCGGTGAGAGGGACACCCTCTGGCTCTGCCCAACACACATTCTGCTCAGCACTGAGAGCCTCCTGCTGCCCACGGCCCGTAGGGTTCACCCTGACCAGCAAAGCCCTTCCACCTTAGTCTTCCCCTCCCCACCCTGAACTTGTTCTTCCCTAACTCATATGCTCTTGTTCTCTAATATCCCTAAGCTTGGCTTGCTGGCCCCCAGAAAGGGTGAGTGCGTACTATGTTCACCTACCTCTGGACAGCAGAAGGAAGAACATCTGTAGCTGTTGGCACTGTGGCAGCAATCCTAGTAGGTCAAAGTGAAAAGGGATCTCATAGACACAGGTGTCTCCTCCCTGATCCAGTCCTGGGAGGGAATGGTGAAGGACAGATGGTGAAACTCGGATTACCTATCTGTGGCTGCCTTCACCCTACCCTCTCCCTGTTCCACCCAGTGAGACACCTTCCCCACTGACCATCTGAGACTCGGGGCTCTGGGGGCAGAGGACCCCATTCCTTGCTCTGGCATAGTTGTATCAGGTATTCAAAACTCAGCATGGAACCTATACAGGCAGCATCCCTTGGGTGGAGCTAGGGGAGAAACATCAGAGGTCAAGGGTTACCCTTTTATAGCCCTGGCCTTCTCTGGCTATCAAGGAAATCAAAATAATTGCAGACAGAGATTCAGAGTGCCAGGAAGCCCATAGGCTTCAGTATCCAAAGGAGATACAATCCAGTAAGAGGTGGGGTATAGTTCAGAGGTCACTCACAGCTTGAGGGATTTCAGAGTATGTCAAGTTCTGTAGGTGCTTCCAGCTTTCAGGACCAGGTCCCACTCGCCCGTACTGTGGCTCCACCCATACCTCAGTGACCAGATTGAGCTCAGAGTCCCCCTCCAGGGCCTCTACCTCCACATCATTGTCATCATCTGTTGAGAAGCTAAAGGAGGAAGGGCTCTGAGCCTGGGTGAGAGGGAATCTAACACAGCCTTGTGGCAGGGGTTGGGCCTCATGGAGAATGAGCCAGGCATGAAGGATGAAGGACAGTCATAATTGGCTAGCCTTTGCAGACTAGCAAAGATGACTGATGAAACAAATAAAATAAGCAGCCCCTCCTCCAGGCTTGAGATGGAGATCATCTCAAGATAAGGGAGTTAGACATTTAGGGAACCTAGAAAGAAGGAGATGGTACAGAGATATGCCTCTCAAAGAGGGCTGAGGCTTACCTGTCTTTGGTGGAGGTAGAGTGAGGAGGGAAGAGAATGTACTGGACGACACACGTGTGCTTCTCTTCAGCAGTAGCCTGCCCCAGTGGCTCATTCTATGGGTAAAAGGGAGGCACTGGGAAAATCCCGGATGGCACAGAGTCCTGGCCTGACCTGGATCTGGCCTTCAGAAATTTAATCCTCTCACTATAGGATCCTATGATTCTGGCCTCAGGCCCGGGTCCTGGAACCAAGTTCCAGTTTGTGAGACAAACTTCATAGCAGTCCTACACAGGTCTAAGGTGAGGGTCTCTGGATTTTGATGGACATTGAGGTTAGCTATCATGAGGACTGCCACATACCTGAATTGGAAGCTCCAGAACCATGTTGATGATTCCTTCCCCACTGCAGGCAAAATGGAACCCTTCAGAAAGTCGAACTCTGAAACCCATAAAAGCAGGGCAGGACCAGAATAAGAAAAGGAAAGAAGAAACACTCAGTACAGTGCCCCCAACATACCTAGCCCCCAGCAGCCATTGTGGCAGCCTGGACCAGTGGAGTTCCTGCTCAGATTAGCAGTCCTTTAGGATGCAGGTCCAAGTCAGTGGCCAAAATAAGCAGTTGGAAGGGAGCAGATGAGGAGGGCAGTAGCATGAGCTGCTCTGTACTTGACACTGAGGCTTGGAGAGGGGGAAATATATAATTTAGCTGCCTGCCAGTATCCCAAATCCAGAATTCACACTTGTTTCCTCCCTGCCCCAGAATCCTGGAAGGCTCAGGTGACGTACTCAGTCAGGACAGAGAGGAGCTGGGCGATGGCACTGAGTGGCAGCGTCGGGGCCAGGCCTGATGGGACACTCCACAGCCAGCGCTGGTGGTAGAGGTAGCGTGACAGTGATGCTAGACTAGATGAGGCAGAGCGGCCTGACACCAAAGGCAATGGCCCTGGTGGCTCCAGGGTCAGCAAGAAGGGTGCTCGGTAGTCCAGAGGTAACTTCTCATACCTGGGAAATGTGGCAACTCCTTAGTTGATTTCCATTCACAGCTATCCTTCATGTTTTTGGGCCCTCCCTCCCCACTCTCCAGACAAACCTAATGAGGAGCTTGTCCAGTGGCTTATGGAGGACCACAAGGCAGGGCCGGTCTGACAAGGCCTGCTGTGGTCCCAGCATGGGGGGTGACTTGGAGGGAGAATTGCCTCCACCAACACCCCCCAGCCCTTTACGTTTAACTTTTGGTGTAGGCTCTTTACTTTGCACCCGATGGGGAAAACGAAGGCGTAGGATCTCTTCCCGCAAGTCTGACACGATCTGTGGAGAAAATGGGGTTAATGCCCTGATATTCCCATCTCTTCAAAGTCTGGGAAGAGGGGGTCTACAAGGCAAGAGCAGCCTCCTTCGTATTTCTCAAGCCTTAGTTGTTCTGGGAGTAACATTTCCTACTAGATTTGTCCCTGTGGTGGCTAGGGAAATGGAGTTTGTCTATACCACAGGCGGCTTCAGTCTTGAAGTCAGTCAGGGTCCAGCTCACCTTGTGCCGGGCCTGGGCTGGCGTGCCAATGGGAAAACCCAAGCGAAGAACCATGCACGGGGCCTTGGAAATGATGCGGACCATGTAGAAGGAGGAAGGAGGTTGGTCTGGGGCACTGGGGAGAAATGAGAGTAAGTAAACAGTCCTAGGCTGGGAGCAAATGGGCTTAGGAGGAGGTAGGGGTGAGGCATGGGATTAGAGGAGAAGATGGGGGATGAGATGATGGGGGAAGGGTGAGGGACATCACATTGCCCACCTGGAGAGCAACTTGACATAAGAATAGCCCTCAACCAGCACAAAACTGCTCCAATCACGAAGCAAAGAGGTCAGCGAGGAGTGCGAGATCCTGCACTGGATAGTGCTGTAGCGTCCATTGCTGCCCGGGGTGTGCAGGTGCTTGGGGACTGGTCTAGGAATAGGGGTGTAGAGTGGGATCAGACTTCCTAGACCTGTTCTTGAGGATAGGAAAGATGACTATCTTTCTCTCATGGGCCTGCCTAAAATGATGGGGGTCAATGAGCAGGAAAATTGGCCACAGTTGGTGTTCTCTTCCCATCATTTTCTATCCCTTGGCTCCTGCTCCTCCACCCCATGCATGGCCCTGGTCCTGAGGATACCCACATGTCATGCTCCAGAATTAGCACCAGGCGATGCATGTGCAGCCACCGCTGCCATGAATTAGCATCCATGGATAGCACTGGCTTCCAATAGGCAGCAAACTGGGCATGGGATGAGTCAGAACCACTGGGCTGAAGGGAGAGCACCTGGGGACAGAAAAGGTAGAGGAGCATTTGTGGACAAGCAGATACAACTTCCAAAGAGCAAACAGAGCCAAGAAAGACTCAGTTCAGGTCAGAGGCAGAAGTGGGTTAATATTAAGGGGTACAGCCCATCTTGGGACAGAGGCAAAAATGGTTTCTAGTATAAAGGCTGGATTAGGATGACTGAGTCAGAGATAGACTTCATATGGACCACTTATGTGGTCCATATGCCCATCAGAACCAGTGCCATGGACAACTGTGAAGAGAGCACAGGACAACAGAAGCTATAGTCTTCAGGAAGTACTCAGATCATGGAGGCTGGCTGTGGTTGGAAACAGATGAAGGATGCTATATGGAAATGGGGTGAGGAGGTTCAGAGCCTGTTGAGATGCCACCACCGACTGCATGGTCTGTTAAAGGCAATCTCTTTTAGATCGTTCTCCTCCCCAGGGTCTTAGGAGGGGGAGAAGAAATGCTTTTAAAGCTACTGTTGAGAATTTCTGACTTGGGGCCTCGGATTTGACAGAGAAGGAACAGAAGTGGTGATGGGTTCCAGATGCTATGCCAGTTCCAGTCTGGGTGGGCATGGGAGGGGATACTGAGCATCAGAGCCACTCACCGGGGTGGTAGAGCCTGGAGGGATGTAGAAGAGTGGCACTCCACTCTTAGTGCTGTCCGGAAGGGTGAAATGTTCTGGGACCGAAGAGAAAGACTGAAGGTGGGCTAGCATCTGGTCTGTCTGGTTAATGCTGTAGAACAAGGGCAAAGTCACAGATGACACTGCTGGATGAGGAAGAAGGAACCCTGGACAAGCTCGGTGCGGTGGCTCACGTCTATAATCCTTGCTACGCAGGAGGTTGCGATCTGAAGATTGTGGTGTGAAGCCAGCCCAGGCAGAAAAGTATGTGAGACTCTTATTTCCAATTAACTAGTAAAAAGCCAGAATTAGAGGTGTTGTTCAAATGCTAGGCACCAGGCTTGAGTGGAAAAAGCTAAGTGAGAGTTCAAAGCCCTGAGTTCAAGCCCTAGTACTGGCATAAAACAAACAAAAGAAAACACCCTGGACACGAGCCTGTGCACTGATTCCCCTCAAGCTCCCAGCTTCACAAACCTGACCCTCTACCCAATAAATGAGGGATCACTCAACAAATGGTGACCTCGCTTACCTCTGTAATGTGTTCCAGAAACGGCGGATAACATGGGTGCGATACAGTGAGCGAATGGGTTGCCTTAGTGTACAGGATACATCGTGCAAAATGTCATAGCCACCTTCCATTGTCACTTCCACCCGTGTTCCTTGAGGGCCCTCAGGCTCCAGGGGCCAGGGTGCCACAGCCACATATTCAATGCGCATGTTGTGTTTCCAAAGCAGCACCAGCTTCACCTCCAGTTGGGACCCTCCTTCAGTGGGGAGCAGAAATGCCAGTGAGGGGAAGGTAATATGGGAGTCCAGGCCTGAGCCTTGAGCCCTATCTGAAACCTCACCTATCTCCTGGAACACTAGCTTGGTCAATGGGTCCAAGCATGGTTCCATAGGTTTCAGAATCAAAGCATCCCAAATGATGCAAATAGAAGTTTACAGGGGCTGGGAAGGTGGCTCAGTGGTAGAGCGCTTGCTTTGCATGCCTGAGGCCCTGGGTTCAATTCCTCAGCACCACATAAGCAAAAAGAAAAAAAGCCGGAAGTGGCCCTGTGGCTCAAATGGTAGAGCGCTAGCCTTGAGCTGAAGAGCTGAGGGACAGCGCCCAGGCCCAGAGTTCAGGCCCCATGACTGGACCCAAAAAAACAAAACAAAAAAGGCAAATAGAAGTTTACAAGGGTAATCTGAAAACAAAGCCGAGTTCAGGACACCATATCCCCCTCAGCTGATTCACTCGGGCAAAAGGATATGGAATTGGGAAGCCACATGCTAGGAGAACTCAACTCTGAAAACAGCTCAAAGCTCTCTTGTCTTAAAAAACAAGCAAAGAGCCGGGCACTGGTGGCTCACGCCTGTATCTGAGGATCGCGGTTCAAAGCCAACCCAGGCAGGAGAGACCGTGAGACTCCTATCTCCAATAAACCACCAGAAAACCAGAAGTGGTGCTGTAGCTCAAGTGGTAGAGCGCTCGCCTTGAGCTAAAGAGCTGGGGGACAGCGCCCAGGTCCAGAGTTCAAGCCCCATGACCGACCAAAAAGAAAAAAAAAAAAAAAACAAGCAAAGACTCTCATGGTGACATTCTTCAATGTGTGACAGCTGAGTGTCCACCTTGTTCAGCAGATCTAACCACATTCGAGCACTTAGAGGCCTATGAAGTGAGGCCTACAGACCCTTACCTTTGGCCAGTGTAATTTCTCGGACACTGTAGCCCTCTCGCAGGCGTACAGACACAGTGCTGATCAAGTCAGCTGGCACCTCCTTCTCTGTGTGCTTCTTCCGGCGCAAGGCCAGGGCTGGGTTGCTGCTTGCAGAAACTAAGTGCTCATTAAACAAGCGGTGCTGAGAGCCTGGAGGATCAGTGAGGATAGGGAAGATGAAAGTAGTGAGCTTTTTAGAGGACAGGTATCTAGGGGAAGTGCAGAAATCACTTGGGAAAATAATGTTAGAACAGCCAGCCCCAGTTAGATATTCAGACCCCAAATCTAGACCATATTATCTCTGGGTCCGTCCTATAGTCCTACTTCCCAATCCTACCCAGCATGACTCTCACCACAGTAATATTCAGGGTTCAGTGCTTCCCCACTGCGCAGGAATGAATAGAACAGAAACGCTCGGTGGTAGACAGTCAAACCCAGGTTGCCTGGCCCAGGTTCAGGACAAGTGGACAAGTAGGAACCAAATGTCGCCATCGCAATGAACTTCATCAATTCCACATTGGGCACGTGGCCAAAACTGCAGTCATAAGAGTAAACCCCTCCTACCTGGGGAAAAAAAAATGAGCAAGTAGAGATCTGCTCCAACAGAAGCACTCAGCTCCCCTTGCCCATGGAGGGAACGTGGGCTGTCATGCTCCCAGGACAGACCCACTGCCCTAAAACTACCCTTTCTTGGAGCCTTTCTGCCTAAAGCTGATACTAACTGGTCACATCCTCTGCTCTTCATCCTTAACATCAAATACTCTTCTATCCCTTCACTAGAGATTTTGGCAACTGGTTCATTGGCTTCCTGTCATCATCCTGGACTTTTCTACTTGAACCTTTAAAATAATAAATAAAACTCCCAAGGATTTTGTTAAAATATAAGGGATAGGTTTGGGAGAGTCTGCACTGGCAAATAAGTTTTCTGTTAATGCCAACACTAAAGCTGAAGATCATTCCTAATGTAGCCCACCAACCTATTTTTGTCAATGAAGTTTGATTGGAACACAACCATGACCAATCACTGCATTTCTGTGACTACTTTTACATATCATAGCAAAGTCAAATAGCAAAAGAAAGACTGAGTGGACCTCAAAACTTACATATTTACTATCAGGCTTTTTCAGCAAATGTTTGCTGCTCTACGTGACGGGTTTAAATGACTCATTCAGTTTCCAGGCCACTCACTTCTTTAATCCTTGTTTTTGCTCTACTCACCTGCACACTGACTAAATGCTTGGCTCTTGGCTTCATTTGAAACAAACTCATCTTTGCAATTCCAAATTGCCACATCCCACAATACAGCATTCTACCTTTAGCTTCCTTCTACCCACCTCTTATAAAGTACTTTGACCTCACTAGATTGGCCAGGCCTCCAGCCTCTGCTCTGGCCCAGTCATCTACTCCATTTTCTTCCTCCTTTCTCAATCTAGCCTGGATCCTCTAGCCAAGCAACTTCATAAACATCATTCTCAAGTCTCTGGCCCTCTTCATTTTTTCTGCTCCTACCTCAAAATCCCAACAAGGATCACAACCTTTACATCGATTCTGCCAATGATGTTCTAAAGAAGAAACCTACCTTTGTATAGGCTGATATCACATTAAAACTGACACTCTACCTAGCTATTTCTTCAAGGCTGTCTGCAGGACTATTTCTTCTTCCTAATTCTAGTCTCCCTTCCGTATATATTCACTGTCACCTTACTTCCTGGAGGAATCAGAGGCCACTAGTAGAATTTACACACTTCACTTCCACCTTTTTTTTTTTTTTTTTGTCGGTCATGGGGCTTGAACTCTGGGCCTGGGTGCTGTCCCTCAGCTCTTCAGCTCAAGGCTAGTGCTCTACCACTTGAGCCACAGCACCACTCCTAGTTTTCTGAGTGGTTAATTGGAGATAAGAGTCTCACAGATTTTCCTGCCTGGGCTGGCTTTGAACTGTGATCCTCAGATCTCAGACTCCTGAGTAGCTAGGATTACAGGCATGAGCCACCAGCGCCCAGCTCATTTCTACCTTTTATCTTGCACTTTTTTCTTTCAGTATGCAATTTTTAACTCAGGCATTCTACTGCTCTGCTAGCTACTCTACTTTCTAATCTCAAAGAAAGAAAATGATGCTTTCTGCTCTGAAAAGAATCTCTTGATCTGTTTGTAGAGGCAGGGCCCAGATTCTGTCAATTTAGAGATTTTATCAAGATCCCTTTACATTCCCTACTTCCAACCCCCTTTTCACTATGGCCCCTTAAAATTATACTTAGCTTTCTAGAAGAAACCAAACCAAACAGAACAAACATCCTCCCTTCTACTCTGTACTTCCCTCTGGCTACCATTCTTTCTCTTGTTCCCTGCGTGGTCTGAATACTTTACTTTCTCTCATCAACACTTGTTTCTACCACCTCCTCTATTCATAGCACTCATTTCCCTTACCACCACTTCATCGAAATGCCTCAGAAAAACTTCCTTGTAATTTGGAATCCACCAAATCCAAAGGACACTTTAAATTCCTCTTCCTACTTGAACTTTCTTGTGTGTCTTGAAATATGCACTACTCTTTTCTTCTGAAACTCTTGACTTCTTTCACATTAGAACCTCCAGTTTCTTCTCAGACTTGGTTCCCTTCATTTTCCTGTGTGCTGCTTCTTACTGTGAGAGACCTTTAAACATTGATGGTCTCACCATCTACTTCTCAACTACTGTTTCCTGGATCAGGACCTGCATATCCAACTGCTAATTACTATGAGTAGTAGCTTTTTACCATGTAATTATGAACTATGCTCTGTACTCTTGTTTTTTGTTTTTTTTTGGGTCCGGTTATGGGGCCTGAACTCTGGGCCTGGGCACTGTCCCTCAGCCATTCAGCTCAAGGCTAGCACTCTACCACTTGAGCCACAGCGCCACTTCCGGCTTTTTTCTTTTTGCTTATATGGTGTTGAGGAATTGAACCCAGGGCCTCATGCATGCAAGGCAAGCACTATACCACCGAGCCACCTTCCCAGCCCTATGCTCTGTACTCTAAAGGAATCATCACACCCTCCATTTATAAATGAATCCAACTTAGAGTGAAAGTGATATGACTACTGTCACAAGCTAATAGTAATAGAGCAAGGATTCAGATTAGCCATGCCTAATTCCAAGGGGAATATTATTACTGCTAAGATATGTTCACCTACAGGCATTTTAAACACAACATGCAACACCTGCATTCACTCTATCCTAACAGCTTCTTTACTTGTTTGTTCTGCCTTTGACCTAGTTATCACTGAAGTCACAATCTTTGAAACAATAGCCCTTCTTTCTTCTTCACCTGTCCCTTTCTGTTTTGCTAGTCATGTCCTTTTTGGGGGCTTTGATATTTGAGATGGGGGTCTTATAATGTAGTTTAGACTAGTGTCAAACTCATGATCTTCCTTCCTTAACTTTCCCAGTGTTAGGTTATAGGCCTGTGCCATAACCCAGCTTCATAAGTTATATAGATGCTACCTTTTCATTTTCTGAACTTTCTTAGCCCAAATTCCACAATTAAGTCTTAATCCTCCTTCTTGGACCCTGCAATTAATAGTGTCCTGCCAATATTCATGTTCTTCATCCAACAGCAAAACCCAATTAATGACTTTGTTATGTTATCATCTATATCACTCACAAAATTATGCAGACACCTCAGTGTCTGCCCACCAAGCACTTTATAAACAGCAGGACCAGCTTTTTATGCTCTAGATATGCCTACCGTCCACCCTTGCTTGCTTTCTTATAATCTGCCAATCAAAATAAGCTCCAATTCTCTGAATGTCTTTTCTCCCTTATTTGCTTAGTTGGAATGGGGTTGGCAATAATAACTAGCCTAAATAAGCCAGGTGGAACTGACTCAGTTTTCAGACCTTCTCTTCATTTTACTGTAACATCCTGTCTTCCAAACCTAAGGAGGTAAGGATAAAGTTCTCTCCCATCACTATCACCTGCCCTGCTTTAGACCTGGCACTAATAGTAAGTAGAGAAATTTTGCCTTTAAGAAAGTAGCTGTCTATGCTTGGCCTTGTGAGATACTCTACTTCCCTCTCTTCCTTCCTAGAAAGTCCTTACCTGCACAAAGGAACAGGCCACAGTGCCACTGCGAAGCTGGTTCAGTAGTGTCTCACAGACAGCAACATCAGGGACACTGGTCACCCCATCAGTAATCACAATGATACCTTAAGCAGAAAACGAGACTCAGACCTGAAGGTACTGACCAGATCAAAGTCACAGGGAGGCACTCCACTGACAGACTCCTGAAGACCTTAGTATCTGCCCAGCAAGCATTTTATAAATCACAAACACCTTTCTTTCTCTTCTTCCTTTCTGCTTCTCCCTTTTAATGCCAGACCAGTCTCTCCTGGTAATGGCCCTTAGATGATATCCTTCCCTCTAAGGTTACTGATGGCTGTCAGAGCTGAAGTTACTTGAGATATTCACTAGTACAGAAGTACAGACTTGTATTTAGCAAACAAGCAAATGATTTTCTTCCCTGAGGTCAGTGATCCTGGGGAACCACAAGTTTTGCCAATCACCCACACCTTTCTTGAACTTGTTTCCCCATTCCCATCAATATTCTTTTTACTAACCTGCACTAGAGTTAGAAGGCAGTAACTGCAGTGCCAAGATACCCTGACGAATCATACTGACCAGCCCAAGATCAGCTGTCACCATGGAGACTCCCACCTTCCGGCCCAAGGGCTCCCCAGAGTCTGAGGACTGGTCTTCTGCCTGGCCCTAAATTACAGAAAAGACAGAATGTGACAGATGTTGTTACTGTTCCATCCATAATGAAAGCAGAATTAATTTGTTGCTGTGCAAGAGATTGGACCTTGAGCTTCACAAGATAGGCATGTGGTCTACCACTAAGCTATACCCCTCACCCACAAAACAGAACTTATAGTCTATCACTGACAGGTCAGATATGCCTAGACCTGTGAAGACTCTGGCCTCTTACTCTATAGCTGCTGTTCTACTGTGTTCCTTCCTAAAGTGTATGCTTAGATGATGAACCTCAGAAGGGAGTCTAGCACAAGGTAGAATTTCTCTACCTTTAACCATAACTGTTACAAACATTAGGCACACAGAACTTCCATTTGCTTAGCCACTTCTAGGGCACTCTAGTAAGTAGAAGTAACTTTATCCCAGATGGTAAATGCTAACTAGAGATCAAATCTGTCCATAATCACCTTTCAGATATGCAGGGTATGCATGGAAATCCAGGACTGAAAAAACACATAAATGGACTTTATATATATATATTTTTGGGTTTTTTTGTTTTGTTTTGTTTTGGTGTCAGTCCTGGGACTTAAGAGCCTGAGTATTACTCAGGCACTACCACTTGAGCCACAGCTCTACTTCTGGCATTTAGGTCATTTATTGGAGATAGTCTCACAGACATTCCTGCTCTAGCTGGCTTCAAACCACAATCCTCAGATCTCAACCTTGTGAGTCGTTAGAATTACAAGTGTGAGCCACTGGCACCCAGTGGCCTTTACACTTTTTTCCCCAGCAAAAATCTATGTTTTGGGAGTATATGTTAGTTATGGTCTTCCAGCTGGAAGCTGGTCATAAGTGTTATCACTAGCACATCCCTCCTTGGCTTGTTCTACTCAGGTTCTTTTTAGAGGTTTTTAAAATGGTCTCTGCCACTTTTGTCTTCCACATACCTGGCTCTGGGGATCGTACTGTTGCTGCAGCATGGTAGCCACCTTATCCTCGAAGAGGCAGAGCTGCTCATACACCTGTTGCAGGAATGCCTCCCGCTGGGAAGGGTCCAAGAGGCAGCCCTGCACCAACACCTGGCAAGCACAAAGGAAAGGCTCAGGCGAGGGTGTCTGGGGTGTAGCAGTGTGGAGGAGGAGGTAAAATACTAGACACTATACCTCTGTTCTATATATTTTCCTTTAGGCAATCCTGACTCTTATCCAACTAAGATCAAATGTATAACTCCACAGGCAGTTTCTCCTTCTTGCGTCATCTACTCCAGCAGCTCAGGTACACTCCAGCTCAAGGCACTAAACCATTAATCATCTTAATCTGGAGTCAACTTTCTTGTGATTATGGTTGGCTACCCTGGGCTTTTCCAACCTCCCTCTTGGGGGCGCCCTAAGATCTTCCAGCTCCCTCCATTTTAGGCTAGAGGATGACATCTGTAAAATCATTCTACTTCAGCCAGATGAAATCTTTCTCATTCTGATTCTCATTCTTTCATTCCTTTTGTTTTCTAAGTATATTGCATATAGAAGAAGCCATCTTGATCTTTAAGCTCATTATCTTTTATTCCCCTAAGGAAAGTTCCTCCCCTTCCTTTACCCTCATTAAGTAACTCCTATGTTCTCTTCAAAGAGAAAGGAAGTCAACTACTAGGCACACCACTTTGACATCCCACCCTAGAGGATGTACTATATTCCACTCCTCTGAAAATTAGCATTGAGTTCTTGCTCTTCTTAAAGATCTGAAGAAAGGGTTTCTCTTACTCCTTTCTTTCCCTAGAGCCAGTCTCTCCATCTCATCTTAACCTTGTTTCTCATTTTCTCTCCATGGGCTCCTTTCCTTCTACTTCAAATGAGCGTAAGTATACTGCAATAGGAGCCTGGCAGCCCCTGGCGGCCCTTAGGATCTTGACCCTCTTCCTCATCATCTGTACCATATGCTCACTTTCTCTGACTCCTCCCTCCTGCAGAACAGCTACTTCTACTTATTCCTACCCAGGTAAGGGGGTGGGGACAGCCAGACAGGGAAAGTGGGACATTGCCCCAGTGTACAGCTGTGAGAATGACAAACCAAACATAAGTATCAGGAACTGGAACCACAGGGTGAGAATAATATTCATATCCATAATGTTTAGAAGAGTGAAATGTGAGACAACTTAATTTATAAATATCAATATATAAAAATATCAAGATAGAATGGAAGTTGCCATTAAAATCATGTTTACAAGCTGGGTGCTGGTGGCTCACGCCTGTAATCCTAGCTACTCAGGAGGCTGAGATCTGAGGATCACGGTTCAAAGCCAGCCTAGGCAGGAAAGTCTGTGAAACTCTTATCTCCAATAAACCACCAGAAAACCAGACGTGGCGCTGTAGCTCAAGCGGCAGAGCACTAGCCTTGAGCTGAAGAGCTGAGGGACAGCACTCAGGTCCAGAGTTCAAGCCCCATGACCGACACACACACACAAAAAATCATGTTTACACATTTTTTTTTTTTTTTTGTCGGTCGTGGGGCCTGAACTCTGGGCCTGGGCTCTGTCCCTTAGCTCTTCAGCTCAAGGCTAGCACTCTACCGCTTGAGCTACAGCGCCACTTCTGGTTTTCTGGTGGTTTATTGGAGATAGGAGTCTCACGGTCTCTCCTGCCCGGGCTGGCTTTGAACCGCGATCCTCAGATCTCAGCCTCCTCAGTAGCTAGGATTACAGGCGTGAGCCACCAGCTCCCGGCTTACAAACATTTTATGATGTACAACAATGCCTGTATTTTAAAAAGTGAGACATGAAGACGTGTACCTAATTCTAGATACCTGACCATTCTCCTCTTTTTGGATAAAAGGATGTATGAAGGAAGGTCAACACACATTCACTAGATAGAAGGAAATTCCATCAAATGTTAACAATAGGTTTCTCCAAGTACACATTATGAGTTTATTTCAGAGTATAATGTAACTTTCTTTGTATTTAGGGTAGCTTCAAGTCTCTGTTGCATTTTATTTTATCCTTTTTAGAGCAGTAGGATACAGTATATAGGAATGACTGAGAAAACATGGAGTCTAGCTGTGGGCTGACAAGTGGCTCTGACAAGTTGCATGTTTTCTATGCGGCAGGCACTGATCTAAATGCTTGACTTGTATTGTGTGTAATACAAGTGCTTTTAATACTTTTATTGTGGAGAAAAGATATAAATGTACAGAGAGGTTAAGTAACTAGCTTGAGGCACACAGCCAAGGAAGTGGTACTTCCAGGAAGCATACACAGACAATTATCCAGTGTTTGTACCCACTACATTGAACCCCACTATCAAGGGCAAAGTGTGTAACATAACATTCAGTCTTTCATACCTGGCTCCCACTATGTTTCCAGTCTCCTCTTTACTACTACTTTCCCACATCTAAACTTTTACTCTGTCAAAACCAAATAATATATATCTCTCTAAAACACCTGTGATTGAGAGTGTAGATTCACAACTGTGCCTTTGCACCTGTTAATCTCTCTCCCGAAAAAGCCTATTTCCCCTTCTTTGAACAGATAACCTCAATTCTTTCTTCAGTTCAAATGTAGCTTTGTTTTAAAGGTCTCCTCTTTGGCTCTCCCAACTCCTCTTAGTGTCCCTACAGCATCTGAATCGTAATTTATCAATGCCCTATAACACTCAACTGCAATCATCTCTTTTAATATCTGTCTCCCTCTATAAGCTCTCAATCCTCCCTACTAGAACAAGGATAATACCTGATTTCTCTGTCTCCAGGGATCTACCCTGTGTTTGGCATAGATCAGGCTTCAGTGTTTGTCAAGCAGAACCAAGTTTGGAGCGATTACCTAATACCCTTGTTCTCTTTGTCTTGGCTATAATACCTTCAAAAGTTTGGCCTCTGTCCAGGGAAGTGGCCCACAGACACCAGGCTAATGGTTGTACCAGGAGAGCATTTTGAGTGTGGGTAGAAGGCTGGCAGTTCCTGCCCTAGAACTTAGTATATACCTACTGTTGTACATTTCAGATCCTCAGGTGCTGTGTCTGGCATCCATCTCTTAAATAAACTAATGGCTAAGATGAGAGTTTACTATCAGAGATAGTTTGAGGGCAAGTCCCTAACTAATGAGTTAAAGATGGTTAAGACTCGATGAGGAGAAATAGGGCCAATGCTTATCTAAGTTTAAAAACATATTCCTGTAACAAACTCGGTCATTATTCAAAAGAACTGTCTTGTGATCACCTGTCCAGGTAGCAGAGAAGCTCTGTCATAATGGTCAGCATTATACCAACAGTTCATAAGCCCCTCAGAAATTTACCTTCTCTGTCTTTAAAATAGATTATGTTTCTGTGGACCTACAGTAGCTCAAAATCACAAAACTATTCCATTTCCTGGGATCAGCGCTTTAGCGATCATGATAAAACTCAAAGGAGCTGGGGAGGAAACAGAAAAAAATATCCAAGGGTCAGACCCATCAAGATTTGCAGTGAGGGTGAGGTATTTGTCCAATCAATGCCAACTAAAGTTCATGAGGAGGCTCTTTAAAACCAGAGAAACTGGTCTTTTCAAGGGGAAAGACTCATGGGAATGAGAAAACAGAGAACTGGGTACTTGGGTACAAATGGTAAGGATGTGGTCCAATAGACTATCAGAAATGTGGTCTGAGGGTAGAAACTTGGATAGAAGATACAATACCTGGTGGGACTGCAGGCCAATGATTGAAGAATAGGCCTGTATCGTTACGTAGATCTCAGGCTGGAAGTCAATGCAAGATCCAGGCACTTGAAAGGGCTGAAGCAGCCCTCCTAGACAGCGCGACAGGGCATGGAAAACTTCATCAAACAGGATCTCTCCTGTGGAATCATCCTGAGGGCAAAATAGAGAAAGAACTCTCAAGGATGGTCAAAGGCAGCTTTAAGCAGGAACAATCAGCTTCTGTAGGTCAGCAGGAACCTTATGGTTAATTATACCCCCAGAATAGTGCATTACTCGCAGTGGAATCTGTCTTTGAATGCTCATCACTCCTTTATAAAGCCTTTCTGCTTCCCACAATGGTAGGTTAGGAACATTTTTTACCTCCCCCAGGACTTCTCATCCCATCCCATCCTTCCTTCCTACTACCACTTTCCAAGTGCTCACCACAATGCTAGTAGATGGGCTAAGGTCCAGCTCAATAACAAAGCGATACTGCCAAGCCAGGAAGGTAACCTGGGTGGAAGGTACCAGAAGAAACGGCCTTGGGACCACTGGTTCATCTGGCTGCCACCCAGGGGGAAGGACACTGAGGACTTCCAACTCCTGTTCCGACTGAAGCTGACAATTAAGATGGAAAAAAACAGAAAAGGGTTAGAAAGAGTCATCACTGTCTACTCTGAACTCCAATTCAATCAGTTATTAGTTGTGAGATCACAGAAAAGGCACTTAACCTCTTTAAGACTTAGTGTTCTCATTTGTAAAAATGCAAATAATCCAAACACCAGCACTTTAGTGCTGTTATTGTGTGAATAAAGTGAAACCATGCATAAGAGTGCTCCCTGGATCTATCTTTTATATCCAAAATGACCCACTACTGGCTCCATTTCCAGCAAACCAACCATATATCCTTCCCCCCACTATCCCTTAGGGAATCTTCTTGTGGTTAAAGATACTTGTCCCTCCTAGACATGGACCCCTTAGAGTCAGGGCTCTGAAAAAAAATAGAGCCTTCTGGGATAACCCCTTATATGTCACCTATTCCAGGCCTCACCAGCAACTCCTGGGGTGTGGCCTGAACAGTTTGATGCAGATGATTGAGAAACCAAGCCAGGCGGACATTTCGGGAGATTCGATAATCTTTTTTCATCAGCAGGAACACCTGCCCAGCTTCTTCCACCTAAGGATAGAGACATTAATGTATCTAAAGTTAAAGGGGACTGGGTTCCCCATATACACAGATCCTGTGTAAGCAGGCCAAGGAGCTCACACTCTGTAATATAAGAGGCCAGGTAGCAGAGGTGATGTCTACCCCTGCTACCATGCATGCTGCTCCGGGCAAGTCAATTCACAACTTCCCTCCCCTTCTCCAACAGACCTCCATACCAATGAAGTGAGCTTTCCACATTGTTTCTACAAATGTGTGAGTTTCTCCAAGAAACTATAAGCTCCTGAGGATGGAGATTGTGTCCTGTTCTGCTTTTGAGCTCATACTTGGCAAATTGATTTAAAAGATGACACCTAATAAGTCCTTAAATGTTTCATAAATATGAATATTACATGAATATATGACAGTCCTTCTTGAATATAGCAGGCAGTGAAGAAACCTTTGCTGTGTGAATGTAAGCCTCAAATTAGTATCTCAAATTAGGTGTCTGTGGGTCACAATCTCTACTCATACACCTCCTAGTTCCTTTCCTCCATAGCCTCAGAGGTGGCCATTGCAATGTTCCAACTAGCCTCAATTTCCTTACCCATGTCCTTGTCCTTCCACTATGCAAGCCCTGCCAAAGCTTGGACTTGGGATGAACATGACATTTTCCTTGGTCAACATATATAGCATGGCAACTGTACTAGTGACATGAAGAAACCTATCACCTTGCCAGCAGTGCCAATTCTTGCAGGCCTTTACCAGTCTACTGACTTACCAATCAGCAATTTTTTTATTCCCTCCATAAGATTTTTCATCTCCCAATCCTGAAATCCCAGAAGACCAGACTGTTCACTGTTCACTGAGGAAGTAAGGGACAACTGACCATCATTCTCCCAGCCCTACTTCCTACTCTAGCTTGTTCTAGACAAGTCACACATTTCTCCTCCTGTTCCTGACAGTGAGGGGAAATAAATCAGTCGCAAGTAGTGAAGACAGGGTAGTGAAGACATGAACAGAAGCCAATGACTGCCTGTTGATAAATATTAATGCTGAAAGGAAGATTTCCCCCGCCCTCACCTCAAATGAGAAAATATGCACAAAGAGACCGAAATAGCCCCGAAAAAGCAGTAAGGAAAGGTGCCAGATGCCAGAAAACAATGTAGACAGCAAAGAAGCAACAGATGAGGATTTAGAAAGTCTTATTCTCTGAGACAAAGGGCAAGGATAAAAAGACACAAAAGCAGGTACTGAGCAATGACAAAGGGAGGAATTCATACCTACTGAATACCTAAAATGAATTCAACAGATCTCTGTAAAGGTTAGGTGCAAGAATTTCTGATTGAGTCAACCTAGGCTAACTTGTTAGCTGTGAGACTCAGAAAAGGCATTTAACCTCTTTAAGCTTCCGTGACTTCACATGTAAAACAGAGCTAATCCTAATACCAATCTAAAGTGCTGTTATATGGATCAAGGGAATCATACATATGAAGTGCCCACACAGTGCCTAGTACTTTATAAGAACATAGCAAAGGTGAACTATTACAGATTACTAGGTCTTAACAGTAGGTGTTTCGTATAAGTAAACTCAGTCTTCATAGCAAAATATGTAATAGGAGGAAAATGAAGTTTGAACTGAGTAGTTAATATCAAAGAAATCAAAGCAACACCTGATGAGTAAAGCTCATCTACTGAATGACAAATGTCCATTTCTCTCTTAACAGTAGAAACAAACTGGGAGAGAGCAAGGGAATGGGTGATATTGTCCAGAAAGAAATGTACTCTTTACCTCAGTTATGTAAGTATAATCACTTTGCACATCACCTTTACAATAAAATATTAAATTAAAAAGAAGAGTTGAAAACAGTCAAGCACAACGCTATATACCTATAATCTTAGCACTTGGGAGGCTGAGGCAGAAGAATAGAAAATTGAAGGTCAGCCTGGACTACATAGTACAACCCTATCTCAAAAACAGAGTTGAAAGTGTGGCTCCAACTAGAACAAGGCAGAGACAAAACAACAATGAATACACACAAAAAAAGTGCAGAAAAGATGTAAAGTACTAATAAGAAGGAGCATAATAGGTAGTCAGGTGGCCATGGTTCACATCTATATTCAGGAGGTTGAGATAATAGTTCAAAGCCAGCCTAGACAGATACTCTATGTCTAATTAAGCCACAAAAGTCAGGTGGGAGCTGTGGCTCAAGTAGTAGAATGCTAGCCACAAGGAGAAGGCCCTAAGGTCAAACCATAGTACTGGCAAGGGCTGATATTCTGTAGCTCATCTTATCTGTACTTCGTTTCTACAATACCTACATGGGAAAAACAACTGTCTATGGATTTTAGATTTTATCCTGAAAGTAAAGGCAAGTGAAAGGGTCCAATAAAGCATTTTGTCTTCATTTAAAAACAAAACTCTGGCTACCACATGGTTCATAAAAACAACCTCTATCAATGAGGGGAGATGATAGTGACCTTGACTAGAAGCATTGAAGTAAATTAAAAGTTGACAGAGCTCAAGAATCTACATTTTAGCTGGGCACCTGTGGCTCATGCCTGTAATCCTAGCTACTCAGGAGTCTGAGATCTGAGGACCATGCTTCAAAGCCAGCCCAGGCAGGAAAGTCCATGAGACTCTTATCTCCAATAAACCACCAGAAAACTGAAAGTGGCGCTGTGGCTCAAGTGGTAGAGTGCTAGCCTTGAGCTGAAGAGCTGAACATTTACATTGTTGGAAGGGGTGACATAGATCAAGATGAACTGTACTTACAGAATTGTAACCTCTTTGTATAAACTACCTAATAATAAAATTTAAAAATTAAACAAATCTACATTTATATGAAACTTCAAGTATCCACTATTAATCACCTTTGTTTGGTTTTTTTGCCAGTCGTGGGGCCTGAATTCTGGGCCTGGGCACTGTCCCTCAGCTCTTCAGCTCAAGGCTAGTGCTCTACCACTTGAGCCACAGCGCCACAGCGCCACTTCCAGCTTTTTCTGCTTATGTGGTGCTGAGGAATCGAACCCAGGGCCTCATGCATGCAAGGCAAAGCACTCTACCACTGAGCCACCTTCCCAGCCCCTATTAATCACCTTTGAATCTGAAGGCTTGGAGCAGTCTGGCAAAGAAGACAAAAATAAATGTTTAGAGTCATGGATGTTTACAGGCTTGGACTCAAATCTTGTTCTTTTATTTGCTATCTTGCTATTCTTGGCAGGTTAATTTTTCCAGATCTCAATTTCTTCACTGATGACATGTAGATAAGAATATTTTTATAAGGATGTTGTTGCAGTTAAATGGGTCAGTCAGTACAATGGTAGAGGAAGGCTATCATTCTTTGAAATATTTATTGAGGCCTACATACCATTTATATCAAGATAACTAGAACATTAGTAGGCTCTGGGCTGCATATCATGGATACCAGGATGAATGAAACATGGTACATCTTATTAGTTTGTTGTTTTCTAGTTTTTGCTTTTGCTCCTTTGAGATTAAGGTTTGAATTATTATTATTTTTTATTGTTAATTGTGGGGCCTGAACTCAGGGCCTGAGTCCTGTCCCTGAGCTTTTTTGTTCAAAGCTAGTGCTCTACCACTTTGAACCACTGCACCACTTCCTGTTTCTGTGGCTAATTGGAGATAAGAGTCTCATAGACTTTCCTGCCTAGGCTGGCTTGAATTATTTTTTAACCCATTTTTAGCCCATGACTGTTTTTCTGTCAACACAAAATAATGTATACTCTCCCCATTCCAATGATCTGAAGCCTCTTTATCATTATACTTATGCCAAAGTACTCAGCTTCCATCATAGCCTTAAACTGAATCTTATCTAGTCTCACTGCTCACCAATCCCACATACCCATATTATCAAAGCTCAGGTAAGAGCATGCACTCTAGTGTTAGCATAAGAAGGATGTAGTTCTACCCCTTCCAGTAGATATGTAGCTTCGGCATAGAGATTAACCTCTCTGTGCCTCAGTTTCTTCATCTGTGAGTTGGGGTAACAATAGTGCCTACTTCACAAGGACTTTATGAGTATTAGATATTGAATTAACATAAAGGCCATTCCTTTAAAAAGGCCTCCTCTCCTAACTTCTTAACAAACTGGATTAAATACCCTGGTTAAAAACTGTTAAACAAGCTAGGCACTGGTGGCTCATACCTGTAATCCTAGCTACTCAGGAGGCTGAGATCAGGAGGCTGAGATCTGAGGATCGTGGTTCAAAGCCAGCCTGGGTAGGAAACTTATGTAACTGTAACTCCACCTTTACAATAACAATAATATTTAAAAAATCTATTAAGCATGCAGGGACCTGGCTTGTAATCCTGGCTACTTGGGAGGTTGAGATCTGGGAATCAGGTTTTGAAGCTGGTCCATAACACTTTTATCTCCAATTAATCACCAAAAAGCCAGAAGTAGAGCTGTGGCTCAAGTAGAATACTACCCTTGAGCAGAGAAAGCTAAGGAACAGTGCTTTGAGTTCAAGCCCCAGGACTGGTACAAAATAAAAACCTGTTAAAACATCCTCACTCACTTTTATAGCACTTACAATTCAGTGTTTACTCCATAAAGATAGGGGATACCACTCTCATACTACCATATACCTACTCTGGTACTTAGCATATTTTGAGTTCATAGCAGCACTCACAAAACATTTTGAGTATTTGATGAATGATTTCCTAAATCTTACCATGACAATTTTTAGGATGCTAACATCCTCTAAGCCACTTTCCTTTTAAAACTTCTTGCATTTTCCCCCAGCGCCAGTCACATTTCCAAGTGCAGAACTCTTGGCCCCTTTTGCTTTCTGAGATAACATTTTCAGAAATTCAAATTAAGAATTTAATAAACATAGAAAGGGGATGTCACTTTGGAAAGTTCTTGCCTAGCATGCAGGAGACTTTGGATTCAATCCCTAGCACTGAAAACAAAAACACTTTTAACAAATGCTGTAAATTTTAGCTGTCAACTACTTCTTTTATGTATCTAACATTACATATACAGTTTACAATAGTTTCCTGCAGAACAGTACTGCTTTCTACACCACCTGCCTAAAAAGCATGTTTTATTTACCCCACAGATTCTCATTTTAATCCATTCAGAAATAATACTCTAAATTTCTCAGCTTTTCTAAATATTGGTCTTTCTCATGCATGGGCTAATCCATCACACTTCTGAACATGTCTGATTCTTTTAAGTAAGGTAATTTGTAGGTAATTTGTTACTATCAACAACCAATCATATTCAATGTTGGGTGTTTCACACATGCACCATTAAGACATTTGCCATCTTGACTACTTTATTTGCACTAGAATTAACCATTATGGTCTGGCTCCAGAGTCTTAACCCTAATGACTTACTAACTGTATAACTTACTTTTTTTTTCACCCCCCACCCCAGCCAGTCCTGGGCTTGAATTCAGGGCCTGGGCACCTTCCCTGATTTTTTTGATCAAGGCTAGCACTCTACATTGGAGCCACAGCTCCAATTCTGGCTTTATTTTTTTTTTTTTTGTTTAATTGGAGATAAGGGTCTTACAGACTTTCCTGTCCAGGCTGAACATCCATACTCAGATCTCAGCCTTCTGACTCACCAGAGCCTGGCTACTTTGTTACTCTTAATAGCTCTGTGTCTCAGGTTTTTTTCCACTGGAAAAGAGGAGTTATGATTTCTAGAATTGGGAGAAATATCAGTAAAGCTCTTAGAATGGTACCTGGCATGCAATGCGTTTTCAAAAATTAATGACCACTCTCTGGATCATACACAACTCTTACCCTTCCCATCAACTGCCATATTCTCTTGTAGTACTGGTCAACTACAACCAATCTGAGATTTCACCCCTCTCCCCCCTTCAAATATCTCCTAAGGCATCTAGAGTCTGTTTCCAAGTGAAGAGGTCTTAGGTAAGGTACTTCATCTGACTTTTCAGTTTTCTTCTCTGTAAATGAGAGCAAACACTGCCACCTTCCTTGCACAAATCTGAACGACAGAGTATATATACAGAGATAGCTCACATGCCTTTTTTGGCTTAATGCATAGGATGCTCACGTCACACCATGGGACAGATATTTTATAACTAAGGAAACGGGATCTGGGAAGTTAAGACTTGCCCGGATCGCTACATGGTAGCACCAATAACTAGATCGAGGTCTCACTTCGAGAGAAAACGTTTTTCAAAGATCACGAGCGCTAGAACGACATCCACGCACGCCGTCTGTGGCCTCCCGGTGTTTGATGAACGGCAGGATCCGGCAGTCAGTCGGCTGCGGTGTTGCCCACTAAGACGGCAACAGTGAATTAAAACACAAGGTTTGTTAATACCACTGTCATCAGGTCAACGGCTGGCGACTAGGCTGAAACTGCAGTCAATCAAACAAAGGAAGTGACTTCTCCAGTCTCTGGAGGAAATCGCTGACCGCGACGGTGCAGCCGGGGCTGGTCCCCGTCCAGGCTAGGCGGGAGGAGGCCAAAGCCACGACCCCGCGCTGCGCCCACCCACACACCCGTCCGCCCACCCTCACCTCCGGCTCCGGGCGCTCCGAGGCCATCGTACAGCCCACCAGCACCGGCCTGGCCCGGCCCGGCCCGGCCTAGGGAGGCTGTGCCTCTCTTGACCCCTGACCTGGCTACCTTTGCCCCCGGTAGGAACCGGAAGTCGCTGGGAAGGCCGAGTCCCGAGCTTTCTGATTGGTGAATGAAGCTCTCGGGCGGAGGTGCCTGAGGATCGAGAAACCGGAAGTGGCGGTCGCCGCGGCTGCTTGGGCCGCTGCTATGCAGGTGAGGAGGAACCTAGTTGATTCTACTGGCAGCTAGTTAACCTTGGGCAACCCGACTGAGAGTGGGCTGGCCGAGGACAGGGAAGAGTTGGTACCTGGCAGAGTGGGCAAAACTCGTGGCTGTGGAGGGAAAGCGGACGGGGGCGGGAGGGGGAGCGAGGCCTACGGGACCGAAAGCAGCGCCCTAGAGACATGGGTGGTTGAACCCGGCTGACAGAGGGACAGCTCGGCTAACCGGGGGAGAGAGGCAGCGCCGACCTGCCGGGGGCCGAGAAACGATCAGATAGTCTTTTGGAGAAGCTGAGATAAAATTCCAAGGAAAGACAGCTGAGGAAAGTGGTGGGCTGACTCAGACCGACCTGGGCTGTTGGATACAAGTACAATAGGGAATCTGTAATTGGGGAGAAGCTGAGGGCTGAAGCTACGCTGTGTTTGTAATCTGATGCTGTGGGTGGAACCCAGGATTAAGTCCCCGTCAAGCATCGTGTTGGGTTTTTGCATCCTTCTTCCCAGCTCGTGCCCTAATAATCGTTGAAGGTGAAGGACTGATATAAAATGGGAGACCACAGATGCTGTACGGCAAAGAAATGCTTTGCAGATTTTCAAGAGATAAGAAACACATACGAACTTTCTTGGTTTTGTTTTTCTTTTAGTGTATGCACCTGTGAGAGACTTCTCACTGCGGTTTGAACTCAGAGCCTCATACAGATTCTCACTCAGTTCTCTTCTTCTCCCACCCCATCAGGGCTAGTACTTTGCTATTTGAGCCACACCTCCACTTCCAGCTTTTGGCTGGATAATGGAACTCAAGAAACTTGCAATTTTGTCTGCTTAGGCTGGCTCTAAATGTCAGTTCTCAGATCTCAAGACGCCTGAGTAGCATGGTGTGAGTAGGTGGTGTGAGTAGGTGGGGTGAGCCACTGGTGCTCTGCTTTGGTAAATGTTTGTGGCTCAGCTGAGCTTGTGAAAGGAACACAAAAATATTAGCACAGAGTGAGTACACATTAAGTCATCAGGGAGAAGATTGAAATATCAATACAAAGGATAAATGAAGAGCTGAGAGGCAGGACAGAGCTAGTGTTCAGAATATGCCTATGGCAAGGGGGTAGCTCAAGGAACAGGGCACCTGCCCAGCAAACCCAAGGCCTTGAGTTCAAACCCCAGTACTCCAAAGCAGAAAAAAGTCATAAGACATAGTCTAAGACAGGGAAAGATGGTATACATGTGGTTCAGAATTACCCATTAGATAAACAACTTCAAGAATTAGGTCTGACAAGTACTTCTCAGTGAAGCAGAGCAGGGTATATCTAATGCTATGCTACATTTAATGCTATGCATGGATTAGGAGGTGTTAAGAGAAGAAATAAGTTGGTAGGAGAACTGAGGTCAGAGTTGATGCTGTCTGTAACACAAATGCCAAAGATAGAAAACAACATAGCTTTTCGGCTTTCTTCTGAATGTGCTACATTCATCTATCTGGGTAACCAGTCTGTTACTCTTGATGCAGAGGGAGGAGAAGCAGCTTGAAGCATCATTAGATGCACTGCTCAATCAAGTGGCTGATCTGAAGAACTCACTAGGGAGTTTCATTTACAAGTTGGAGAACGAGTATGACCGGCTGACTTGGTAAGAGTTGCCAGGACAAGCCAGGGAGGGTTTCATGGGTGGGGGACCAGACCCCCTGATGGACAGGACATGTGCAGTGATGTAACTCACCAGTTATCAAACATCTCTTGATTTGGAAAGAGCCTGGTTGCCCAACATTTAATGCATAGTTTTGTTTACAGTCTCAATGGCAAGGAAATAGAGAAATGCCCAGTTTCTTTAAACAGGTTTTTTCTAGGTTTTGCTTCTTATTCTTTGATTTTTTTTTGTAAGGAGGCCTTCCTTCAGTGGAGAAGCCTCTTAGCTCTTTTAATGCCAGATTTGTTTCCACAGCTCTGACTGAATGTTAACATCCAACCTCCTCTGAAATAGTGGATTGTACTTCTTGGCTAGGATAAAAACTTTTATCCAGTTTCTCAATTTTCACTTGTAACAGTATAGCCATCATTCCTGTTTTGCCACTGTTCTCAACCCAGTCAAACAGTGAACTATTTTTTGTCTACATGTATGTCAGAAATTGAAAGATTATTCCTCTTTTTCAAACTAGTATTACTGTTAGTTAATCTGGTTCCCATCTAGGCTAGTAGTCATAGGGCTATCAGTTGTTTGGGGGTGTGCCTAGTCTAAAGGACCTCTTCAAGATTACAGGACAGAGAGAGAGTGGAACATTCTGATATACTTTTACCATCACTAGGCCCTCTGTTCTGGACAGCTTTGCCTTGTTGTCTGGACAGTTGAATACTCTGAACAAGGTCTTGAAGCATGAGAAGACACCACTGTTCCGTAATCAGGTCATCATACCTCTGGTATTGTCTCCAGACCGGGATGAAGATCTCATGGTAAGAAGAGGAAAAAGATCCAACTTGGAAGTTCTTACATGAAAATTTAGAGCCCAATTATTGATTGGCTATTTTAGGAGTTCTGGATGTGGGGTAGTGTGTGGCAGTAAGAAGCAAGGACTGGGCTGGGAATGTGGTTTAGTGGTAGAGTGCTTGCCTAGAATGCATGAAGCCCAAGGCTTAATTCTTCAGTACCACATAAACAGGAAAGGCCAAAAGTGGCACTGTGGTTCAAGTGGTAGAGTGCTAGCCTTGAGCACAGAGAGGCCCAGGGACAGTGCCCAGGCCCTGAGTTCAAGCCCCAGGACTGGCAAAAAAAAAAGTAAAGGAGAGATATTTTGAGAATTCCTAACATTTTCTTCCAAATTATAAATAATGCTTCTTGGCCTGGGAATGTGGCTTAGTAGTAGAGTGCTTGCCTAGCATGTATGAAGCCCTGGGTTCGATTCCTCAGTACCACATACACAGAAAAAGCCGGAAGTGGTGCTGTGACTTAAGTGGTAGAGTGTTAGCCTTGAGCAAAAGAAGCTCAGGGACAGTGCCCAGGCACTGAGTTCAAGCCCCAGGACTGGCAAAAAAACAAAAACAAAAAAAACAAAAAACCAATGACTATATTTTGGAAATACTGCTTTTCTTCTAGAAATGAGAAAGTCAAATACCCTAAAATTTCTGAGACTATGTTACCAAGGCAAAGGAAGACCTTTCTCTTGTGATACTTGTTTTTTTTTTGGGGGGTGGGGGGGGGTCCAGTCATGGAGCCTAAACTCTGGGCCTGGGCGCTGTCCCTCAGCTCTTCAGCTCAAGGCTAGCGCTCTACCAGTTGAGCCACAGCACCACTTCTGGCTTTTTTCTTTTTGCTTGTGTGGTGCTGAGGAATCAAACTCAGGGCCTCATGCATACAAGGCAAGCGCTCTACCACTGAGCCACCTTCCCAGCCCGTGATACTTGTTTTGAGGGGGAAAAGGTCTGTGTTTTTGTGATCTTGTCTATTCCAGTCTTGAAGTAATGTTTCAGAGAGAAAGAGAGACAGTTTAATTTGCCCTTAGGTGTGCTAGAGATAGGTTATAAGAAGACAAGTGAATGAGACATTGTCCTAGGAAGCTAGTTACTATATCTCAGGTTGTGTTTTACACGAACATGCACTGTTTGCCTGTGAAAATCAGGCTCAGTCTTCTTGAATGCATAATAGACCCCATAAAATTTGTGTTACAGCGTCAGACTGAAGGACGGGTACCTGTTTTCAGCCATGAGGTGGTCCCTGACCATCTGAGAACCAAGCCTGATCCAGAAGTTGAAGAGCAAGAGAAGCAACTGACAACAGATGCTGCCAGAATTGGTGCTGATGTAGCTCAGGTTGGATGGAGCCACTGCCCTGCTGCCCCCATCCTATCACAAGCTATTAGCACTCCTGTGTAGTAGGGATGCACAGCTCATCACACTTGGCTTGTCTATGAAAGAGCACAGAGAAGAAACTTCTTCATAATCATGTCCTGCTTACCTTAATCATTATCAAATTTGTGTTACAGAAGCAAATCCAGAGCTTGAATAAAATGTGCTCAAACCTTCTGGAAAAAATCAGTAAAGAGGAGCGAGAATCAGAGAGTGGAGGTAATGAGGGGTTGGTGGCAAAACAGGGACTGGTATGTAAGATCACTGGAATAGGAATGGTGGTTCAGCTAGTAAAGTGAAGACACAAGCATAAACTGCTTAGGGAAGGATTTGCAACCATGTTAGTTTTCTGTGTTTAAGGTCAATCTTGGAACATATCAAATGACAAAATGGGATGGAGATAGACTTGGGATCTTCTGGCTCTTTCCCTGAATTGTAAGGGAGTCTAGATGCTACTGAAGTCAGAACTTCATGTCTTGGCAGTCATCACCAGTCTTTCAACTGTTAAGTTCAGCTCAGAGCCAGACACAGATTTCAGGATGTCCACTTTTATTTCAGGTCTTCGGCCAAACAAACAGACCTTCAACCCTGCAGACACCAATGCCTTGGTAGCAGCTGTTGCCTTTGGGAAGGGGCTGTCTAATTGGAGACCTTCAGGCAGCAGTGGTCCTGGCCAGCCAGGCCAGCCAGGAACTGGAACAATCCTTGCAGGGGCTTCAGGACTGCAGCAAGTACAGATGGCAGGTGCTCCAAGCCAGCAGCAGCCAATGCTTAGTGGGGTGCAAATGGCCCAAGCAAGTCAGCCAGGTAAGGTGGCAGTGGTTGAGCTAATATATAGGAATGAAGTACATTAACTGGGCCCCTAGCATTCTCAGACCTGAAGATTTTCTCTTTTCTCCTCTATGTTGTGACTCAGTGCAAAAAAAACAAAACAAAAGGTGACTTGGAAAATAATTTTCAGCAGTTAAAAAAAAAACAACTCACTTGAGATAGTAGTAGACACTGGCTAAAAAACTTTGGACAGCAGAAACTGCTCTTGCCTCCCATCCTCATCTCTTCTCAGTTGTTTTGTCCCTTTTACTCAAGATATTAAGTGTGTGGTCAGTATAGAGAAATCAACAGTCAGATCTTATTCAAGACCATTTGTTAGGTAAATCAGTTGTTGACAAGCAGGTACTTTTCCTATACAGGAAAAGTAGGTATTCTCTTACTACTCTGTCTATTGCTCTAGCTCTTGGCTTCTTGCCTTTTTTTTTTTTTTTTTTTGTGCCAAGTCTGGGGCTTGAATTTGGAACCTAGGCACTGTTCCTGAGCTTTCCCCATCCTACCTCAAGGCTAGTACTCTACCAATTGAGCCATAGCTCTACTCCAGGTTTTTTGGTGCTTAATTGGAGATAGGAGTTTTATGGACTTTCCTGCTCCAGCTAGCTTTGAACAACAATCCCCAAATACCACGAGTAGCTTGGATTATAGGTGTGAGCCACCAGCACCTGACCTCTTGCCTTCTTTCATGGTCACTTTTTAGTAATTTTAAAAACACTTTGGAGGAGTCCAGATGCTAGCAGAGATTTCCTCCAGACTTTCTAGGATTAAAAAAAAAACAACCCTAAAATAAGATTAGACAGTACCTTATCACCTATGACATTAAGCAGTGGTACCCCAGGTTTAGCTATCTTTTCCAGAAATAGATAAACAGAAAGTAATGCTCTGATTCTCACCATTCTACCAAATCACCACTTTCTTCTAGATAACTCCAGAAAGGGATCTACTGAAGAACCATAATTTTTGATTTCTGCCAATCAGGGCCAGAGGTTCTGAGATAATAAGGCAAATGACAGGAAGGAACCTGAGAGACTACATTTTTTGGTTTATTGTAAAAGTCTTACCTTGTTTCAGATGTCTTTCTTTGTGTTCCTTTTAGGGAAAATGCCAAGTGGAATAAAAACCAACATCAAGTCAGCTTCAATGCATCCTTACCAACGGTAGCATGGACAGCAGCCTCCACTCCCAGGTGATCTGTGGTGGGCAGTGAAATTACATTTTTCCTGTAGACCTCATAAAAAGAATACGGGCTCTCAGCAACACATCTCATCTTCACTGGTGAATAGCTATGTGACAACGAACAAATAATGCAATTTTTCTGGGCCTGTTTTCTCATTTGTAAATGATGGTAATACCTACCTCATAGGGTTGTTGTGAGGATTAAAATGAGAAAAAAGATTGTAAAAAAAAAACCAACAACTTAGCACAGTATGTGAAAATAATAAGTTCTCAATAAAAGATAGTTTTTACAGCTATTTTTCTGCCCCTTCCTCCCCGCCCTCCCCCGACCCCTCCCGCCAGTCCTTGATCATGAACTCATCCTGAGCTGATACTGCTCCATATCAATGGTGAAGCTGATCTGATCAGATAAAACCCGGGATGATTTTGTGCTTCCAGAAAGCAGCCTATATGTCTTGGAAGCATATTGTTTCTGTAAGCACTCTTGCTCAGGGTCCATCCTGCTGGCCCTTTAGACTGTAAGTGAGGAAGTTTCTAGGGTAGGACAACCTTCCACCTATAACTGATGACGCTTGGGCCTGTGTCTTCTGAACTGGCTTAAATCAGCTTTTATTTGGAAATGGATAATAGTCTCCATCCTTTTTTCTGCCCTATACACAAGAAGAAAGGTGTCAAGGGACCAGTAGGTGGGAGATTTCTCAGGAAGTGCCTTTCTTACATTTCACTAAGCCACAGGCTGGTGATGGGAGGAGTAGCTCCAATAGTAGCTTTGCTTTTACAGAGTTGTAGAACAGAGTGCATTTGGGCAGCCAGCCATGTTGCCTTTCTCAGCACTCCTTTATAGGCAGGAATATGTATTTAATCAGCAAAAGTGAGCCAAAACAGTTTCTTTATAAAATAAAGTTAGTTATGTTGATGTTCACTGGGCTCAGGGTTATCTGACAGCATTTTATGAGAGTTAATATTGAGAATTTCAACAGTGCTTCAAAGCAATTCTAATTTGATCTCTGTAAACATTTCCTTGTCTTTAATTATCTTGGATGTGGAAACCTAGAGATACCCAGTTTATACCTGCCAAGTGTTGTTGTTTCTTCTCTAATGTCATACACTGGTACTTTGACCTTTGATCAGTGTTAGACAATATTCTACCAGACTGTGGCAGCAGAGGTCTAAAAAAGTGGTTCCAGATGTCACTTGGTCCATTAACACAAGCTTAGTGACCACACACACCACAGCAGGGGAGTCCTGCTGTCATCTCTTGGGCCCCAGACCTTTCTCCCACTTAAACAGACTGACCTATCAGCCCACTGAAGTGGTATCTTCTCAGTTCTTCTCTTTCCACTCAGAAAGCTAACTTCAATATTGGGTAGACCACAAGCTAGATTTTTCTAGACTCCCCAGATCATCTTCCAGTGAATGTATCAACTCCATTGTATCAACTCCAAAGACTTTTGTTGTTTTTGTGAGAGGGTCTCATTATATAGCTCAGATCTGTGCAGAACTCTTAATCTTCCCCAGTGTTGTAATTAACAGGCGTATTGATGTACCTGACAAGTTTCTTTGTATCCCAGGCTGATTCTGAGATCTTATTTCCACCATCCTGTTGAAATGGGTTCCTTTTCCTTAAAAGCAGAACATCTTCCAACAGGAATAAGTGCAAGGCCTCACTTACATTCTGGGCCCTTAAGAAACACTCCATGCCAAGGAGGTGCTCACACCTCCCGTCACTGTAGGCACACACACTCTCATTTCCATCTCTTATATAAAAAGAAAACACAACTCCCTCTGTCACAACTCCTCTTTGAGGCCCTTATACCTAAGTGAACACCTCAATGGAAGGAATAGATCTTGACAGCCATGCCACTTGGTCCCTTGGGAGGGAGCATATGTGAAGAAGAGGACATTCATGACTGTTTTTTGCTCAAATTTAGATTGGCAAAAGGTGATTCTTGTCCTATTCTGGTATTCTTTTTTCTGATTCTGACCAGTTTTTCTCAGGGATTGCACTTTCTCCTACTTTTGTAAACTCTGGAAAAAAGGATTAGACTGTCTCCCAGGCTTGTTTCTGGGATGGAGAAAGAAGAGGCAGCTGTGAAATCTCAAGGGCTTACATAGCACAGTTCATCCCCTTGAAGGCGGAAGGTTATTGAATCAATGTCAGTATTATCATCCATTGCCTAAGACTTTTCCGTGTCCAGTTCTTCCCTGAAGCTAAGATTCAGTCATATATGAACCTCTTTTACACGTTGCTCAGGTCACCTTATTCTGTTTTCCTTCCAGTGTGGATTGCTGCCCTACTTAATAGGTTCACCTCACTCAACCATTCACTGTTTTGGAAAACGTCTAAGATTGATAGATTGCAGTCAAGTGCTGTGTCTAGCTCTATAATAGATCCCAGCACAAGGCCTGAACTGGGGGAATGTGATTGTCCACCTCTGTCCTGTAGCTATAAGGAAGAAGCCGAACTCTGCAAGAATACCCTAGTACAAGGCTTGGCTTTTTTTCCTATTCCCTTACCACCTCCCCCAGGCAGCTGGAAACAACTTCTCCCTTTGTCTGATTTTCTTGTACAGAATAATCCTCCTTATGGACAATGTATTCTCTGTGTCTTGTGGACACAGGGGCCGTGTAAGCTGATCCCAGCACCGGGCAGGACAGAGGCTGAATCCTTCCAAATGCCCACCCTGGGTCAGTTCCTGATTACTATCCAGAGGAAACTAATAAGGGCTGTATTTTTTTTTTTTCCTGTCTGCCTCAGATTTGGGCTGCCGGGAGCCCCAAATGCTAAACCTAGTAGTTTAGTGTTAGCCAGAAGTAGGACCAAGAGTTGTGGTCCATTTTCTGGTCATGCTTGAGAGTTCATAGTTCCAACTTAAAGAGGCTTGATTGGCTCTTTCATGAAAATCTGGAATGCTTGCACTTAGGGTTTGTCATCATGTGGATGAAAGTTTTCTGATTAGAAAAGGTGGCAATTTTTCAGCTCATTTGACAAGACCATAGTGTTCCATCCTACCACCATGTGCTTTGTCCCACAGGACAAACTTCTGTTTTTTTCCTTGGATAATTTCTATTTCTATTTCCTTTTTCTTTCCCTCCCTCCCTTCTCCCCTCTTTCTTTCTCTCTTTGGTGCCAGTATGAGGGCATGAACTTGGGCCCGATTGCTATCCCTTTGCTTTTTTGCTCAAGGCTAGCACTCTACCACTTGTCCAGCACTGTAGCTACAGCTCCACTTTCAACTTTTTTTCTGGTTAATTGGAGATAAGGGTTTTATAAACTTCTGCCTGGTCTGGCTTTGAACCACAGTCCTCGGCCTCCTAAGTAGCTAGGATTATATGGGTGAGCCATTGGCACTCAGCTGTTTTCTTTGTTCTTGAGTGCTTTCAGGATGTCAGCTACTATTTGGATATAGCAGCTTCCTAGGCACAGCTTGGACTAGTTTCCTGACTTTCTTGGGCCTCAGTTTTTTTTGGTTTTTGGTTTTTTGGGGTTTTTTTAACCTACATGATCCCAGTGATCTCTATAGGTTGAAAGTCTCTGACAAACTTGTGCAGACCTTGACAAACTTGTGCAGACCTTTTGGTTTTTGTTTTGGTTTGTTTTCCTTACTTATAGGGCTATGTTACATAGATAGGCCAGTTTTTCTAGATTAATCCTAATTCCCTAAGGCTTCTACAAACCGTTCCCAAAGTTCACTTTTGCAACCACTTTTGCAACCTTTTGTAAACCACTTCCCTAACAGTTTTCTGACTTTCATACAATTCTCTGATAAATATTTAACAAAGAGATGTTACCATCAAGGTATGTGTATGTTGGAAATCACCTTCCTATAGACATCTATCTCTCCCTTGGATAAGATGTGTGGATGGAGAGATGACTCCTTCAACAGAGGCATAATTTTAGACTTTTTCTTTTTCTTTTTTTTTTTTGGTCAATCATAGAGCCTGAACTCAGGGCCTGGGGCTGTCCCTCAGCTCTTCAGCTCAAGGCTAGCTAGCTACCACTTGAGCCACAGCGCCACTTCTGGCTTTTTTTTTCTGCTTATGTGGTGCTGAGGAATCGAACCCAGGGTCTCAGGCATGCAAGGCAAGTGCTCTACCACTGAGCCATCTTCCCAGCCTGATTTTAGACTTTTTCTCCATTACAGTAACTTCCCTTACTGAACTAAATATAAAGTGCCCTGGGCCATTCTTACTTTCTGCCATTCCTCTGCCTTGCCTTGTTCGCACCCCAATTCTTTAGTTTGTAGTCCTTTTGATTCTTCATTGTGTTTTGTCCCTCCCCCACATCTTTTGTCATTTCTGGGACCACCTATTCTTTTTGTTGTTGTTGTTTTGTTTTGGTCTTGGGTCTGGGTGCTGTCTCTGAATTTTTTTGCTCAACACTAGCACTTTACCAGTTTGAGCTATAGCTCCACTTCCGGTTTTCTGGTGGTTAATTGAAGATAAGCATCTCATGACTTTCCTTCCTGGGCTGGTGTGAACCATGATCCTCAGTTCTTAGCCTCCTGAGTAGCTAAGATTACAGGTGTGAGCCACCAGTGCCTGGCTTGACCACTTAGTGTGTATGTGTGTGTGTGTGTGTGTGTGTGTGTGTGTACATGTGCACACACTGGAACTGGGGCTTAAACTCAGAGTCTTATGCTCTCTTTTTCAATCAAGGCTTACACTCTACCACTTGAGACATACTTTTACTTCTTGCTTTTGGATCGTTTACTTGAGATAAGAGTTTCTCACTTTTCTGCCTGTACTGGCTTTGAATCATGATCCTCAAATCTCATCCTCCTTAGCTAAGATTAGAGGCAGGCATCATTAGCACTATTACTTAATGTTGTTTTTATGTGTCTTCAGAGTTACAAATCCTTATTGGCTCTATATGCCCTCTCTAACTTAATTCTTTCTTTCTTCAATATTGGGGTTTGAACTCAGGACTTAGCATGTGCTAGGCAGGTGCTCTACTACTTGAGCCAAGTATTAGCCCTTTAATTGACCAAATTTCCTTACAGCATTTAATAATACTGAACATTTCCTTCAAATCTCTTTTTCTCTCAACTTCTGTGGCACAAGTTAACTTGTTCTTTAACCTCTGGCCGTTTCTTCTTTGCAACTTCTGGACTTTGGACCTTTGTATGCTTTTTTTTGTATGCTTCTTGAATGTTGTTTTTGTCTGACTTGTCTTTAATCCTCTTTTCTCCCAAAAACAGACAGCCCAGATGTCTCTGCTGAGATGCAGATTACTGTCAAGTATCTCTACCTATAGGAGCCACAAGTTCCTTGGGCTCTGGATGTCCAAATCCAGCCATCCTCCCTGCCCCTCCCCCCCACCATAACTTCTTTTCTGATTTTTCTGGGCATTATCTAAGCAAGGAATACAGGGGCTATCCTACACTCTTTCTCTTCCATGTCCCTAGTTCTATAACTGATCAGATACTGAATTCTATCAGTTTGTTTCCTCAATATAATTCTGTGTGGATTCATTGGTATCTATCCTGTCTTATAGCTTATATATTGGGCCTCTCAATAAAAATATTATTCAGACTCCCTAGTTCTAGTCCTGGAAATTCCATCTTCTCTTCCAAAAGTCTGCCAGATAGATCTTTCAAAAATTTAAATCTGGGCTGGGAATGTGCTTTGTGGTAGAGTGCTTGCCTAGCATTCATGAAGCTCTGGGTTTAATTCCTCAGTACCTCATAAACAGAAAAAGCCAGAAGTGGCTCTGTGGCTCAAGTGGCAGAGTTCTAGCCTTGAGCAAAAAAAGCTGAGGGGCAGTGCCTAGACCCTGAGTTCAAGCCCCAGGATGGGCAATAAATAAATAAAATTATAAAATAAAATCATCCCAAAGTGTTCATTTTATTTGAGGGGCAAGGAATGCAAATTTAGCATGCATATATTATTAACAGGAAATAACCTCCAAAGAATTCCTGCTAGTCTGAAGAACTTCAGACTAAGACACCATAATCGTTGGCAATATTTACCCATTGGAAAAGTTTTTAGAAATAGCTCACATTTCTTGAAAGGCAAGTACGATTCTGTGATGCAGACCCTTACCTCCTCCTAATTCATCTATATTGTGGTGTAAACAGCTTAGTTTCCAGAAGGTAAATTGACTTTCAAACCTCCATTCCATTATCCCCACTACTCCTCTATGTTGTACCCTCATGCTGTCTGACAAATACCCCATTAACTTTCAAATTCATCACTTGTGTGACTGTGATACTTTCTAACATCCTAGGCTCTTCATAGCTCAATGATACTGCCGCTTGAAAAAGTCAGTCACCTCCTCTGTCATGCTCCACCTTTGTACTATGTACAAATCTATCCTAGCTCTTGCTACACTTTATTGTCCTTTAAGTCTAAGTACCGTGAACTGTCAAAGTTTGGCCATA